ATAAGAGATGCTGCATGTCTGCGAATGGCAGACCCCAAGAGGTGGAGCTGCCTAAGTTCTTTGGAGCCCAGAATATCATGAGTAAATTTCAGGTGCAAATAGTTAAGGTATAGGATTTGATTTACACCGTTGGAGCTTGGTTTTGCTTTGATTTGATTGTGACTGGGCCCTGATTCTTCTCTCTCGAAATAAGAAGGTGTTTAGCTTCATTTTGATTTACAGGTGCCTACAATTAATAGACTTTGGGTATTTTAAAAAGATTGAACTTTTCAATTTTTTTGAATTTTTAAATACTATGAGACTTTTCAAAGTTGGAATGTTTTCTATTATGATGTTGATATTGATATGAGATCTTAGGGATAAACAAGTAAAAAATTACTGTGTAATAGTGTTGTATTGACGTGACAAACTGACAAGGCAGGCAGTTAGCCTGGTTAGTTTTTTGTCCACTTGACACAAGTTAGAATTATCAGGGAAGAGGAACCTCAGTGGAGATAATGCCTCCATCAATTGCCTTAGGCAGGTCTGTAGGGTATTTCTTGATTAACGATTGACGTGGGAGGGCCCAGCTTACTGGGTACAGGGCCACCTCTGGACAGGTGGTCCTGGGTTCTATAAGAAAGCAGGTTGAGCAAGCTTTGGGGAGCAAGCCAGTGAGCAGCATTCCTCCACGGCCTCTGCTTCTGTTTCTGCCTCGAGGTTCCTGCTTGAGTTCCAGCCCTGACTTCACTTCATGACAGACTACAACTGTAAGCTGAAATAAACTATTTTCTCCCATAGTTGCTTTTGGTCATGGTGTTTTTAATCACAGAAATAAAAAGCAAAGTAAGACATCAGCCTCCTTGGGGAAAAAAAAATGTAGTGAACTTTGAGTCTTCTTGCGAGTTCTCCACTTGTAGAAATACCTTCCTAAAGGGGGCTTAAGCACTTTGTCCCTGTAATTCGTTTTGACACCACAAGTGACTTCAAAGGTAGGATTCAATGACATTCCATTATTATTTGTCTTTTTCAAGGTTCTGATATTTTCTCAATGCTAATAGCTCTTCAGCTATATGCCTCTAATTTGCACTAGTCTTATCCCCGCCTACCCTTTCAGGCCCCATTGCCAGTTTCTTCTTTGGTAAACAAAAAGGTTTGCACTGAGTGACAGGAAACTGAAAGGGCCTTCTTGATTATTAGGTAGAGCATATGTTATCCAAATGATGTTTTAAAGCTGAAATTATTCATGTGACAAATATTTATTGTGCAGTCCCTATGTTTTAGCACCGTGTTTAGTGCTGGATATACAGGGTACACAGGGTCAGCAGTCTGCCAGACTAATGAGGGTGTTGAGAGGCAAATGAGCAACTGGAGTATGATCAACATTTTGAAGGCAAAGTTTCACAAGCTATGGGACACACAGGAAGAACCACCAATCTAGAGTTGTTGGTCATGGAAGACTAAGCAGATGGTTAACATTTACCTATTTATGTATTTATTGATTGAGTCAACAAATATGAGATAGGCAAATGTACATAAGGCACTATGTACACTGTTTCTATTAAATATTTTCATAATCTAGTATAAGTCTAATAAATTTTACAATATATAATAAAAAGTATGTAAATAAAAATATATACTTTTATGTTAAATGGGATAATACAAGATTATTAAGTAAGGTTTTACAAAAACAGATGTATTCTGCATTAGTCAGGGTTCTTAGAGAAACAGAACTGATAAATGAATACATATATTCATTTAATATATTTTACATAAGTCATATTATTTATACTGTGTTATATATATATAAGATATATGTATATGTTTTATATATATATGATTAATTAGAGTGGATTATAGGCTGTGGTCCAGCTAATCCAACAATGGCTGTCTACCAAAGGGAAATCCAAGAATCCAGTAGTTGTTCAGACCACGAGGCTGGTTGTCTCAGCTGTTCTTCAGTATATGTCAGAGCCCTGAAGAAGTAGGATCTAACACCTATGAAGGTATGATGTTGCCAGCAAGAGCAAGCAGGGAAAAGAACAAGTACTTTATTCTTCTTCCATGTTCTTCTGTACAGGCTGCCAGCAAACATTGTGGCCCAGGCTTAAGGCAGATCTTCCCATTTCAAAAGCTCTGGATTTAGGGCAAGTCTTCCCACCTTAAATCATTCAATCAAGAGAAAGCCCTCCTGGGTGTACCCAGCTACTTGGGGGTTTTTGTAATTCCAGACGTAATGAAGTTGACAACTTCATCATAGAACAGACATCATAAGTTCTGTGTGGAATTCTGCTTGACCTCCCAAGTTAAGAAGGAACATGGCAGAGCCAACAACATTCCAGAATTATAAAGAGATGTGAAAGAATGTGAACAGTTACCTGCAGTACAGCTATCATGTGACCAAGACATGACGAGTGATTGACAGTGAACAGGCTAGAGGATGGTGTGGGATCACTAATGATCTTCTGTGCCATTTTAAGGGGGCAGGACTTATTCTGGAAAGTAGGGAAGGCCATGGGCTGGTTTGGAGACTGTTCAGATTCGTGTTTCAGAAAGATTTTCTAAGATTTCAGAAACAGACCAGAAGAAGCAGCAACTTACTTGATCTTTGTCTTGTGAAGTAAATATATGAGGATTGTCACTGGCATTGTATCTATGAGGCTCTAGGACTGGATTATATTCCCAAACTGAGGGAAAACAACACAATGTCACACTGGAATGTAATTGGAAACTTGTATCCAACCCACTTTGGAAATCTGGTAACAGGGTTGGTTCTGATTGGCTTTGTATTGATTGAATAGACTTTGTACCAACCTGAATCAGACCCTTTGCAGCATCTTTGTAGAATATTGTTTTAATGTGTCTTACTTTTGTTTATGTTGCACTTGTTTAACTCTGTGAAGTTGTGTTACTGTGCCTGTGTAAAACACCTGATGGTCTAGGAAAGAACTGAATGGCCAATAGCGAGTCAGGAGAAAGGATAGGTGGGGCTGGCAGACAGAGAGACTATATAGAGGGAGAAATCTGGGAGGAAAAGAAGGAACAAGAGAGGAAGGATGAGGACTTCAGGGCCAGCCACCGAGCCAGCCAGCCAGCCAGCCAGCCAGCCACCCAGCCAGCCAGCCACCGAGCCAGCCAGCCACCCAGCCACCCAGCCACCCAGCCAGCCAGCCACCCAGCCAGACAGCCAGCCATGGAGCAAGAAACAAAGAAGGGTATACAGGAATAGAGAAAGATAAAAGCCAGAGGCAAAAGATAAATGGGATTATTTAAGTTAAGGAAAGCTGACTAGAAATAAGTCAAGCTAAGGGCAGGAATTAATAATTAAGAATAAGCCTCTGGCCGGGCAGTGGTGGCGCACGCCTTTAATCCCAGCACTCGGGAGGCAGAGGCAGGCGGATCTCTGTGAGTTCGAGGCCAGCCTGGGCTACCAAGTGAGTTCCAGGAGAGGCGCAAAGCTACACAGAGAAACCCTGTCTCGAAAAACCAAAAAAAAAAAAAAAAAAAAAAAAGAATAAGCCTCTGTTTGTGATTTATTTAGGAGCTGGGTGGCAGGCCCCCCAAAAGAGCAAAAAAAGTTAAATAACAACAATCTTCTTTGGGTTGTTGTGACGATTAAATAAGATGACACATGTAAAGCCCTTGTCAAATAAGGTCTCATCAAATATTAGTCTTTTTTATCATAATTACCCTGTCATATGTTCATTTTTTTTGTAGCAAACAGTGCTGTATATGACTATGTTTAGTATATTCTTACTGAAAGTTGTACATATATGTATATACATGCATTATATATATTATATACATATATAATGTATGATTCCTTTTTTTTGAGAGAGAGAAAGGGGATCTTGCCATGTAGCTAGGATGACCTGGAGCTCATATTTAACCCAGGCTGGCCTCCCCTGCTCCACAATTCTGCCTCAGCCTCCAGAGTGCTGGACTTACAGGTCCAAAACACGATGCTCAGTTATTGTTTTTAATGTATTACTGTACATATACCCAGGAGGTAAACCAACCTGGAATAGAATGGAGTGTTAACTATTACCTCTGTTTGCAAATCATTCTTTCATCTGTTTTTCCTGTTTTTTTTTAAAGAACCTTTAAAGAATTCTTTACTTTCAAAGTATTTTCAGAGGTTTACATTATTACAGCCACTCTGAGTAGTTAAAAGTCTTATTCTCAGTGAAGAAATGCGGGGGACTGTGCTAGTAAATTAAGGAGGTTTTGCAAATCACACATTGCCAGAGGAAACCTCTGTAAGGTACACACAGAACAATTTTGACCCAAATACTATGAACTAGACTAATTGCTTTTGAACTGGGTTTATGGCAGGCACCTGATGTCTGCTGAATTAAAAACAGCGTGTAAGATGCTCTTAACAGTTGCTGCCTTATAATAGCTCATTTACTGAGTCCTTGCTATTATATATACTATTATTTAAGCTTCAGGTTTTGATTAAAAAGTGTCTCAAACGAGCCATTTTCTCCCATTGCAAAATGTAAAACAAGGCTCATTATTTTTAAGATAGCTTCAACCAGGGGCCTAGCACATCTTGCTCAGGAGCACCTCTCTGCCGCATGTGATTTATTCCTTCCTTTAGACCGGAGCAAATTACTCTTTGCCGGCCAAACTTATGAGTCAACGGCCCCGGGGGCGTTTCTGCACTCTGCCAGCCACAGCCCGTGCACCCAAACGCTTTCCACGTGAATCCGCCAAACAAGGTTTCCCCGGTCCCCAACCTCCTTCCCTTTCAGAGGGGTCTTGCCTAAAAGGTAAAAGACAAGGCGGACCTCCTGCGCCCACCCCCTCCTCGCAGCAGCAGCCAATCGCCTTGCTCCGTGGTGCACCCCCGCGGCTTCGGATTGGACTCCAAGAGGCCCGGGGCGGGAGCAGGGCGCCTGGGTGGAGCGCGAAGCCCTGTCCATCACGTGCGGCCGCGGGGTCTCCCCGCCTCACCACGCGCCCCGCGGCGCCGAGGGGGCGGAGCCCGGGCGCCGCCGCGCCTGCGCGGTGTGCTTTCCCGGGGAGCAGCTGCTGCCGCCGCCGAAGCCGAAGCCGAAGCCGCTGCCGCCGCCGCCGCCGCCGCCGCCGCCGTTCAGCGACCTCCGCGTTCGGGAGTAGAATTCGGAATCCCTGCGCCTGGCTAACAATGAAGCAGAGTTCCAACGTGCCGGCTTTTCTCAGCAAGCTGTGGACGCTGGTGGAGGAAACCCACACCAATGAGTTCATCACCTGGAGCCAGGTACGGGTCCGGGGATTCCGTGGCCCCCGGGTGTGCTCCCCGTGTAGGGGGGACCGGCCGGGCCGCGCGGCGCTGGGCTGGGCTGGGCTGGGCTGGGCTCGGCCTGCGGCGGCGGCGGCGGCGGCAGCAGCGCGCGGCCTCCCCCGTCCGTCCCTCCCTCCCTCCCCCCCCACTCACGCGGACCCCCCGGCTTTGTGTGAGCCTCGAGCCGGGCCTCGGTCGGCCGGCCGGCTCCGCTCGCCTCGGGCCGCGGTGGGGGAGGGGCGCCCTGGTAACGGTCCCGCCGGCCGGCCGGCCGACCCACCCACCGACCGGCCCGGCCCGGCCCGGCGCTCGCTCGCTCGCTCGCACGCTCGGCACCGGCCCCGCGGCCGCGCGTTCTGCACACTCATCCTCCGCCGTCTGCTCGCTGCTGCGGGCGCGGTGGTCATTCGCCGAGCGAGCCTGGAGCGGGCGGGCGGGAGGGCGGGCAGGAGGGCGAGCGCGGGTCTTCCTCGCGAAGGAAATCACCTCCGCGGGGATTGCTCGCCCTCGCGTTGCGGGGGGTGGGGGGGTGGGGTGGGGAATCTTTTATGATGTTGAAAGGGGAAAAAAAAATGTACAGACTCGGATTAAAACTGCACGGAAATGAACCAGTTGTGGTTTGGAGACTGGACCATTTGTTTAGCCGGCTTTTTTTTTTTTTTTTAATTATTTTAGTGAAAGTGGCCGGAGACCATGCTTGGTAACTTAGCGAGGAGTTAAAAACGAGTCGTTAAATCTCACTGAGTAGTTGCTGGCGGAGTGGTATGTGGCCGCCCTCCCTGATCAGTTTGATCCAGATTCTACTTATAAATAAAGATGACCTTAATCAAGCCCGGTATCTTGCCTGGTCTAAGTTATGCGTAAGATGAATGCGTTGCCTAGGTGACCCAAGGACACCCCCCCCCCCCTTTCCTAGTTCCACACAAAGATTCTTTGCAGTGATTATTTACATCCCTTGTGCCTTTGGTTTAGTAGGCTCAATTCTTAGATTATTGGAATCACTTTATGAAGGGGATTGGCCGCTCTGACTGTAGACGATCACCTCTTCGTGGGTATTTTCATGTTTACAGTTTTTGAGTAAGTGAAAACGTAACAGCTTATTATGATATCTCTTTCCTCTGTTTCTGTGTCTTTTTGTTTGTTAAACTAGTTTTCAGTTTTACATGCTTTTAATAGCGAACAGTGGAGTACCTGTTATTTTGACAACGATATTGAATTTTGCGTGGTATTGGTGTCATTTATTTTTTTAAACTTCTAGAATTTACTTTTCTTATGTATTTGTCAGCCAGGTGCCCCGCCCCACCCCCTGCAGGTTATGTATATTAAGTATTTGGTGAATTTGGTACAAAGAAGTGAAAGTAAGAAAGGTAGCTACCAGTGTGTACTTAAAATAAACAGATGTCTCATGCTTTTCATCAGTCAGAGGGATTAAAGGTTGACAAGGCTGGATCAGTACAGACTGTTACTCAGCTGTGTTTTAACATTAGAAATTGGACTGAAATACTTTCCCCAGCCAAGCTGAGTTTATTGAACTTCTTTAACTTGCAAAAGGCTGCTTATTTGTGCTGTTAAAAGTACTACTCAAATACATTGATAATTGGTTCTAATTAAAGAGTATTGTCTAAGTAGTAAGTCTAATAAATTCAAATTAGCCAAAACATTTTAATAACTTTCTTTTGATCGATTTAAAATGTGGAGAATTTAAACCAGTGCTTAAATATGAAGTCTTATTACATGAAACAAGCTACTTAATTATTTTTATTTATCTCATTATTAAGTCTCAGTTTATATTTTAACTGCCCATTTCTAATATACCAATAGGCAAGTCAAAATCTAAACTCAGTAGGATATTTGTTCTAGAGACACAATTAGTGCTTAAGGTTTAAATCAATGAAGCTGCTACAAAATGTAATGGGTTTGGTTGAAATGGTATCACAGGTGTCCTGGGATAACAATGAATGTGGCCCAACACATTTGTAGATGACAAAGTCATATTGTAATGTCAAAGGTTGGACACCCCTGGTGGATGATCATCTAGATCATCCAGGTTCTTGTATAGTTATTTCCATGCTTAGTGGGCTGTAATGCTTATGTGTGTACAGGGTAGATGAGACGCCTAACAAAATTCTGAGCTCCAGACTCTCCCACTGTCTGCAGTATACTTTCTATACAGGCCGGTACTGTCTTTAGTTCTATATCAGTGTTGCCCTCTACAACTAATAGGAAGTTCTGGGTAAATGTTATCTAGAGCTAATCCTAGTTTCTTTGGACAGATTTCTCCAAAAAAACAATGCCAATACTGAATGGTAAAACTTTAAGCTGATGTTGGATGGAAAACTGAAAAAAGTTATTTTCTTTCTTTTAAAGGAAAGAGTTATTTTCTCTTTTCTAAAGATTTGATTTGTGTGTGTGTGTGTGTGTGTGTGTGTGTGTGTGTGTGTACACACTTGAGTGCAGGTACCTGCAGAGGGCAAGAGAGTGTCAGATTTCCTGATGCTGGTATTATTAAGGGCTATCATGAGCCTACCCACATGAGTTGTAGGAACCAAACTGGGGAGCAGTATGTGCTCTTGACTGCTGAGCCTTCTCTCCAGCTTTCCCCTTGATAGCTGTGCATGAGGCATTCAGTCACTTCACTTCAAAGAAAATATTACCCATCTTAGAGGTTTTCAGGAGGGTAGATAGAAAATATTCCCTTAAGGAGGCTTTGCGTTAATTTATATTTCCGTTAGTAATTAGTGAGTTCTAAAGTTTTCTTCTGTTTATTAGCCACTAGGTTTCCTGTTCTGTGGAAATTTTGTATTGTAGATTTTTTTATCAATGTTTTTATTATTTATAGGAGTTCCTTTATAACAAGTATATAGTTACCTACTTGTTGTAATTGTATTTCTTCATCTTTAAAAATCTTTTGAAAATTAAGATAGTTTAAAGTTGAGGCAGTTTAATGTATTGGTTGAGTTAAAGGAGAATTAGCAGCTTTACAATGCTCTGTTTTCCTTGGATCTGTTTAATGTTTAATTATATAAAGGTCCCATGTGTTTTGATAATTTGTTATTGGGATATTTTACTCTATTGTAGTTTCACATTGTCTTCTCTTTAATGTTTTATGGAGAGAAATGTGCTTTTTCTTTTCTATGTCTTAAATTTATGTAGAATAAACTTTTTCAGCTGGTTGAAGGATTCATCTCACTGCTTTTTCATTTACTTAGTTGTCCAGCATCTTTTATTAAATAATCCTTTTTTGGACAATTTATGCTGCCATCTTTGTGTTGTCTTTTTTTTTTCTAGTAAAATAATATGGCATCAAATTAATCATTTTAGCTGTGTTAAAGTGTACACTTCAATTACATCACTTTTTTTAACATAACCATTATCACTGCCCAACTCTAGAATAACTTTTATCTTTTCCAAACTGAAATTATGGCTTAATTTGTATTGCTGTGATGAGACATCAAGACCAAGGCAACTTATAGAAGAGTCTCTTTGAGGCTTACAGTTCAGAAGGTGAGTCTATGACCCATTGGGATGGGGAGCATAGCAGACACACAGGTATTATGTGTATGTAACTCATTTAAATTGTAATGAATAATTAAGAAATACAGATTAATAATTAGTCTTCTATGATAGTCAAACTTATAGTCATGTTAGTTAAGTTTTCTAGGTATACATAGATATATTTCAATTAGGTTTGTACAGAATATGGCATTTAAAATGTTTTAAAAACAGACTTTCTGGACAGTGAGATGTGTCTGCTCCTGGCAGCACCTATTTACTTCAAAGAGCAAGATGGGCATCGAGGACCCTTCTATATGGAGTTTATCTTCTTGACAGAACTGGCCATTTGGGCAAGAAACTGTTCTTGCCTAGACTGATTGACAAAATGTTGTATCGACTTGACATATAGGACCCATGGAAAAATGACCACTAAATTTTGCTAAAACAAGGGGAGATGGTCCTTCAGGTTCCTACTTTGCAGAGGAGACTGCCAGACATTCTACAGGACATACACACAACCAAAAAAAAAAAAATGACTAAGGGACTAGGCCTATGGGCTGAAGGTGGATACCCCAACATTACTAGGGAACTTTAGGTGACTGTCCAGGCAGCCAGCTGTCTCTGTCATTCTAGATTTTTGGAAGTTGCTTACAATGCACTTCCTATTTACTTAGGTAATATTATATCCTTCTGAAGTCTTTGATGTAGTTGAAGACTAGATGGTTATAATTTTCCTTAGTTATGATAAAAGGTAAGTTAGATATGAAACTTTAGACTCACAAGTATAGGATAAATAGAGTATTTTATTTGAATTTGCCAAATATAAATAGACTAGATATTGTAACTGTAATTCTTGCTTGATAACTGTTTTGTTATATATAATTTTACTGTGTTAAAGTTAAAACTTTCCTTTTTAATTAAACAGAAAAGGGGAAATGCTGTGGAATAATGCTTTTGTATACTGGTTTAATAAAATGCTGATTGGCCATTAGCCAGGCAGGAAGTATAGGCGGGATAAGCAGACAAGGAGAATTCTGGGAAGAGGAAGGCTGAGTGAGTCAGGAGACACCAGCCTGCTGTCCAGGGAGCAGCATGTAATGACACAGAGGTAAAGCCATGGAAAACATGGCGATGTGTAGTTTAATAGAAATGAGCTGAGTTTAAGTGCAAGAGCTAGTCAGTAGTAAGTCTGAGCTAATGGCCGAGCAGTTTTAATTAATATTAGCCTGTGTGTGTTTATTTGGGTCTGAGTGGCTGCAGGACTGTCCGGTGAGAGAGATTTGTCCTGACCATGAGCCAGGTGGGACTAGAAAATCTTCCAGCTATACATAGTTATTGGATGGCATTGGAGCATTAGCTAGGAGCTTATATCTGATCCATAAGCAAGAGGCAGAGAGAGCTAGCTGGAAATGGTGTGGACTTTTGAAGGCTTCAAAAAGCCGACCCCCCCCCCCCCCCCCCAGTGATACTCCTCCAACAAAACCACATCTCCTAGTCCTTCCCAAACAGTTCCACCAACTGGGGACCAGTCATTCAAATATTTGAGCCTAAGGAGCCATTTTTATTTAAAACCATTACTAAATACCTACCTGTTAGACAGTAACTGTCACCTCTCTCAATCCTGAACAGTCACACCCTATTCTACACTTACCTTTAAGAAATTGGCTTTTTAAAATACCTTCTGTAAGTTGTATCATACAGTATTTATTGCTTTGGGACCAGCTTAGTTCACATAGCATAATGTCCTTAGGGTTCATCCATTTTGTAACACATGTCAAATTCTATTTGAAACACTGAATAATATTTCTGTACCACATTTTGCTCAACCATTGATGAGATGAAGAACACTTAAGTTGCTTTCACGTTTTGGCTTTTGTGACATACTACAGGGATCATGCAATGCTGATATCTCTTCAGGTTCTTTTTTAGTTTTGGAGTGTTTATATAGAGTAGGAATTAGCTCTTTGAGTATTTCTTTAATTTTTGTTTTTTGTTTATTTTTAGCAAGTTTTTTTTTGTTTGTTTTATAAAAGCCATTCTAAATTGCTGGGAAGTAGTATCTTATTGTTTTTGTATTCCTAACCATTTGTGAATATTGAGCATCTTTTATGCACTTATTTGCAACTATGAATCTTTCGAAAAAATGATACTCAGAGACCTTGCTTATTTTTAATTGGCTTTTTTGTTGTTGTTTTAAATATATGTCACATACCTGATAGACAAATCTTTTTTACCATTCTGCAGGAGGCCTTTTTACTCTTGTTGATGTTCAGTATGCATAAATTATTAAACAATATGGTCCCATATTTCTGATTTTGCTAATGTTGCCTGTATTCAGTATTGTATTCAAGAAATCATTTGCAGTTCCAAAGTCATGAAGTTTTTCTCGTGTGTGTGTGTGTGTGTGTGTGTGTGTGTGTGTGTTTGGTGTTTGGAGACAGGGTTTCTCCATGTAGTTCTGGCTGTCTGCCTCTGCCTCTTGAGTGCTGGAATTAATGGTGTGTGCCATATCACCTGGCAAGATTCAGATCTTTGATGCTAATGTGTTTAGTTTTTTTTTAGCTATTTTGAGTTAAATTTTGTACATGATGTCAGGTAAGAGTTCAACTGTATTGTTGTACATATGAGTATCTTGTTTTCTTGGTACTAATCTAGAAGCTAGCCTGACCTGCTGGTGATGGTGGTGCAGCCTGTTGTAGCTTCTTATAGGCCGAGGCCTGGAGTGAGTTCTAAGCCAGCCTGGGCAACTAATGAGACTGTCTCAGAAACTAAGGGCTGGAGAGATGGCTCGGAGTTAAGAGCACTTGTTCTTGCATAGGACTTAGGTTTGGTTCCCAGTACTCACATGCTGGTGCACATGTAACACAGTTCCAGGGATCTGAAGCATTCCTTGCACCTACATGAACACCAGGCATATTTTTAGTGTACATACAGATATAGGCAGAACACTTACATACATATAATTAAAGATCTTATTTTAGAAATGAAAAGGGGGCTGGAGATGCAGGTCGGTGGGTTAGTACTTGCCTAGCTCTAAATGTAGACCCCAGTAATTAATTAATCAGTTAATTAATCTTGTAACCAGAAATCTTTCTAAATTCTTTTATAGTTTTTCAGTGTAATATACTAATTACACTGTTACATATGTTCTGGATAGTGTTAAAATGATGATTTCTCTGTTTTTGTCTGTTTATATTAGCTTTAAAATAACTTAATAGTACTGTCTACATATTAGACCTTTTGCTTACCTAGTAAAAATTCTTTTTTTTGTTTGTTTTTCAAGACAAGAGTTTTTCTGTGTAACAGCTCTGGCTGTCCTGGGACTTGCTTTGTAAACCAGGCTGGCCTCGAACTCACAGAGATCCACCTGCTTCTGCCTCCTGAGTGAGTGCTGGGATTAAAGGCCTGTGCCACCACAGCCTGGCAGTAGAAATTCTTTCAATATTTTATCACAGAGTATGGTGCAGTTTTTGGTTTGATGCTGAGACCTAAAATGTTCTTATAATTTGAATTGTAATTTTATATATATAAAATATATATATATATATAATATATATATTATATATATATGCCTTTTTCCCCCATTACCATAAATAGAATGTTGGTCTGAATGTATCTGGAAAGGTTTACCAGAGCTGATTTAGATTCACATATATAACTTCATCAGAGGACCTTAACTAAGTGACATTTGTGGGCTTTTTTTTTTTTCTTTTTTAGAATGGGCAAAGTTTTCTGGTCTTGGATGAGCAGAGATTTGCAAAAGAAATTCTTCCCAAGTACTTCAAACACAATAACATGGCCAGCTTTGTGAGACAACTAAATATGTGTGAGTATGACCAGTGGTTTGCTTCTAATGCCATTAACAATCACTGTTTGAGCCAGTTTTTCTCATGAAAATAATAAAGTATATTTCTGTATAAGCTTTATTAATTTTTGAGTTGTCTAATTTTAGTCATGTAAATTTGAATCTTTGTCAGATGGCTTCCGTAAAGTGGTACATATCGACTCTGGAATTATAAAACAGGAAAGAGATGGCCCTGTTGAATTTCAGCATCCTTACTTCAAACAAGGCCAGGATGACTTGTTGGAGAACATTAAAAGGAAGGTGAGCTGCTGCTAACGTGCATTAATTAGGTTATAGACATGAGGCACAACTTTTTTTTAAGCTGCTGGGTTTAAGAGTATACAGAAAAAGCCAGTTGTGGTAGTCCACACGTGTAATCCCGGAACTCAGGAGGTAGAGGCAGAAGGATTGCTGCAAATTTGAGTCCAGCTTGGTCTAAGTGATTTCCAGGCCAGCCTGGAATATGGAATAAGACCCTTGTCTCAGTAACCCCCCAATAATAACAGATATATGAATAATGAAAATGAATGCAGAAATACAGAGCTATTTCTTATGGAGATGACTAATAAATCTTTGATTAATTGTTCATCTGTTCCCAGCACTTATTTCAGAGCTCAACTGTGCTGAGAGTAATACAGTCTTCACTTTAACGAGGGAAGGAAAATGCTCACCATGGAGTCACAGAGGGTAGAGTTACCCAGTGTAATAGGAGGGCTTACTCTTGAGTTGGCAGAGAAAAATAGCAACTGTCTTCTGCTAAAATGAGATGTCTTTACTAAATCCATAGAAGGTATATAGAAAAGAAAGAATAGGCATATTGATAGTCCAGTGGTAGAGCACTTCTAGCACCCTGAAAACCCTGGCTTCAATTCCTGTCACCAAAAATGTAGGAGGTGGTGGTAAAAATGAGGCAGGGGAATACCTATAGCCCAACGGCTAGAATATGTAAGTCTAATTAATCTAAAATCAACAAGGCCTTGAGTTCAATCCTAAATACTGCAGAATAGAAACAAAAGGTGAAGAGCCCATGGAAGAAAGTAGGCTAGGGAAAGGGTGAAAAATAAAGTGGTTAGTCCTTGATTTCCCTTGTGTTGAGCTATAAAGTTTATTCTTGCTCTAGAATTTATCTAGAAATTTGTAACCACATCTTACTTCTTTAATAGGATACAGAAACTTCTCATAATAGGAAGTTTGAATTACAATTAGTATATATTTAATTTTCTAAATTTGTATTTTTGGAAGGTTTCATCTTCAAAACCAGAGGAAAATAAAATTCGTCAGGAAGATTTAACAAAAATTATAAGTAGTGCTCAGAAGGTTCAAATAAAACAAGAAACTATTGAGTCCAGGCTTTCAGAATTAAAAAGGTAAAATATTATTTCCAAATATAATCCTAATATTATGGAGGTTGGGGCGTGTGTGTTGGGGTTTGGAGAGTGTCTGGTGTTTTACTTTAATCCTCAATAACCAAGATCAAAGGTCATCTTGTTTTCTGTATCAGTTCTCTTTACTTTTAGTTTGTAGCTGTAGACTTTGTCCTAATAGCAGGTTTTAATTATGGTTGTCAGACTATAGAATGTTGCCATGAAGCTAGTCTTGCTTATGAAATGATAAGTCTTTAAGATAATATAGTAAATAGTACTACATAGATTAGTTTTCATGTGATTTTCACACGTAAATGAGGGCACACATTAGAAATCTTACATATAACTAGTGGATAGTGTAGTAAATACAGTTTTACATAGATTAGTTTTCATAAGGTCATCATATATAAGTGACTTAAAATGTATGTTTAATTGTGGCCTGTCTATTAGGAAAAAGTAGGGCATGGGAAATAACACACACATACACACACACACACACACACACACACACACACACACACACACACACACACACAGTTGCCCAACTTGATACTGCACATAGACCCAGGAGAGGGTTCCACAGACCTCTTTCCTCAAAAACGTGGCTTATCTTGTTTTATAACATTATTTAGTAGCATTTTCTTAACTGCCGCACTGTTAGCTTGTATATAGAGTAGGTGTGTTTTATTTTTATATATATGAGGAGTTCCCTTAATAACAAGAGCCTGAGGGTGGTTATTTCACACATTCCATCTCACAGTTTTGCTGTTAATTGTCCTAATTCAAATGTTTTCATGAGTGACTTTGGACTCCGAGTCCTTGTTTGAATAAGCCTTCCACTTTCCAGTACTGCTTGTTTATCTAACTAGTTGTGCTGTTTGCTCTGTCTGTCTTCCGCTAGTAGCATCCTTTAAGTTAATTCAAGAATTTGATCATTTAATCATTCTGTAACAATTTTCTTTCCTGATAACTATATGTGAATCTGCCCTTTTGTTATAATAGTACAGATAACTTGAGGAAGATAACTTTGAGGATGTTAATAGAAGTTAAAATAAGCATTTGATAGTTGGATTATCCTCTGTATTTTATTAGCTCAGCAGTATTTAATAACTACAGTTTCGATTTTACAAAGGAAAGTAAGAAGGGAAAGGAATTATAGCTATTGGGTAAGTTATTGGACTTCTTTTGAAATGCTTGGAAGTGTTCTGTGCTTCCTTAGAGGGTTTGAGTTTCCTTTAATAGGTGCAGAGTTATCTGTATGATATTAGGCAGAGTTCCATCACTTCATCTACATAGCAAGATCATGGCAGTGTTTATGGAAGTTTAAGTGTTCCATACATGTAAGATGCTGAGCATAGTGCCTGGAGCATGTCGCATGCTGGTCAGTGTCCCTTTCCTTTGTGTCCTGAAGGAATTATCAAAATCTGTATATAATTGCTCTCTTGCTTAAACTTAGTTTATTTTTAAACAAAAAGTACCAAGCCCTGTTATCAAAAGGAATAAATTACCTGCTACTATATGCATGCAACTATGTATCTTAAGGCTTTTTACAAATATTGCCGTGACTAGTAGATAATACAGTTGAGAACAAATAATTATAGCATAGGAGAAGCATAGTTATGTAGTATTTGTTTCTTTAGACAAGGTCTCACTGTGTAGCTTAAGCTGGTCTTGAACTCGTAGTTCTCCTACCTCTGTCTGCCTACCTGTAGAGTTGTGAAATTCTCTGGCTTTCTTGATTAAAGATGTGGCTTGGTCTTCTGACCAAATCTTTCTTGTTTGGTTTTAAATAAATTTTAATACAGTGAAAACGAGTCCCTTTGGAAGGAGGTGTCAGAATTAAGAGCAAAGCACGCACAGCAGCAGCAAGTTATTAGGAAGGTAAGAAGCCTCCCTGCCCACACAGTGCTCTACAGTTGCTTGATAAGTAGACAATTTACTGTTTGTGGACTGTTGGTAGTTGTTGCTGTTTACTCTGATCGGCATAGTTAATTTTTAAGTCACTTGGCCAAATTTCCTGGGAGTTCGACGGTGTTTTTTCCAGTGTGTGCTATAATTGGGCTTAGTATAAAAGTAGTTTAAAAAGTTACAAAATAAATTCAAGATATTGAGGAAAATTAATGGAAGAATTAGAATCTGCCCATGGCATCATGTCCTTGTCATTTAATCTTTATATTCCAACTTCCACTAGCTATTAAAAAAGAAACATGAGCGTAATGAAGCTGTCTATTTTTTGCTTAGGAGTAAACTGGACTCAGCAACAGGTTCCTTTGAGGAGAGGGTGAGGGAGAGAGGAATCTTGTTCCTGCTTGAAAAGGCACTTGAGCTAAAAATAAGCTTATGAGTGACAGGATTTGGATCTAGTGAACCAGGCTTACAGTGGAGATGAATAACAGTTGTCACATTTGGCCTATGGTCAAATAGTATACTAGTTTTGTAAAATAAGATAGCATTAAGGTTGGACATAATAAAATTCATTTCCCAGTGTTTCATTTAATATGTGTGTTTTTAAAACTTCTGTAGGCAGTTCTAATGCATAGCCCTGTTTAGGAAAGTTGAGTTAAAATAACAGGTGTTTTTAATTTTGTACTTGATGAAAAGATCTGTTACTGTTTTTCACAAAACAGCGTTTTGGATAAATATTAACTACTTAATCTGAGTTTTTTTCCCCAGAGCAATGATAGTTGGTGAAATAGTTAGTTAACTCAGCACTTCAGTTTTTCACCAATACCTTTTCTGCTCAGTTTTGAAGTTATATGCTATATGATAGACTTAGGTGATACATTCTTTCTTGATCATGTTAAATTCCATACGCATATACAACTCTACAGAGTCTAAGACAGTCCTCCAACCACTTTGGCCTTTATTCAGACCCTGGAGCACTCTTTTCATTGTTACCCACTCTCTGCACTTGGACTTGGCATCTTTAGGTAGGAAGCTGACAGTAAAATTTCAGGTCCTACGCTAAGCCAGAGTAGTTCTCATAAATGTTACCTAGAAGACTAAACAGTTAATAAATTCATTGCTGGACCCCATCAGAATTCAGATCGGAAATTTCTATATTGAGGCTGAGGACTTAAATGTATAAGAAGACACTAGAATAGTGCTGCTGGGCCATATCTTACTTAAAGAAACAAACTTATAAAATAAGGTTCATTTACAGGGCTATCAGTTTAGTAGTTTTCACTCTAAATTTAATCAGATATTTTAAATTTACGGCTGATATAAATGTCTGATTGGGCAAGCTTAGATGGATGTATTGCAACAGTAATATTTATAAAACTGGCCATTATACTTTTTTGGATCTGAAAGATTATGATCTATTCTGAGTTAGTAATTACTTTTGCCTCTAATGATATTACCTTAGTTAGGAGAATGTTGTCTATCAAACACCAGTTTGTCTGTCTTTGCATCACACTTAAATCTTCCTAAAGAAACCGCAGATCTCAAGTGTTAACTTGTGAGAACTTAAAGTGACTGAGCATTAGTTGGTGTGTGTTTTAGAATCATTTATTGAGAACCCTGCACAAGGGCAGAAAGCTGGGTAGTAACTGATAGGATGTGGACAGAAGCTTTGATGAAAGAATTTTATTTACATTTTCCTCTCAGATTGTCCAGTTTATTGTTACATTGGTTCAGAATAATCAGCTTGTGAGCTTAAAACGTAAAAGGTAAGTTTTTTTAAGTTTTGATTTAAAAACTGTTTGGTGTTTAATCATGAGTACCTGTGTTTGCTGAGTATATGTCTGGTACCAAAGAACAACTCTTTCCCTTGTTATATTATGTTAGCACTTCAAGAGTAGTCTTATCAGGGTAAGCATCCCTTAACACAATGCTTTTAGGATAGTAAAAGTATTTGAAATTGTAATTTTTTTCAGATTCTGGGATATTTACATACATATGAGATGTCTGTGATAAACTTTATGTCTGAACTCAAAATTCATTTAGGTATTAGGCATACCTCATGCATGCATGTAGTCTGAAAGTAATTATCTCTTCAATAATTTTATACATTAGGTAGTTGGTTTGTCAAGCAGCTAAAAGGGCTGAGAATGATGCTTTTAATTGACCATGGCCCATCACAGAAATATAAGTGACTTTTCCATTTATGCCATACTAATGCTCAAAAATTTACTTATTTTGGAAATATGCAACCTATTTATCCTACGTGCCCAGCTCCATGCTGATGTTTTGTTGTTGTTGTTCTGTTTTGTTTTTTTGAGAAGTGAGGCTAGGCTAGATGGTCACTTTGTACACTTGAAGGTGTTACTAATAAATGATTTTTCATTCATATTAACAGTTTAAAGTAGCATTAGTGAGGAAAACTCTTTAAAAATAGGTCATTTGTTGTGGATAAGGAGAGAATCAAATATTTGGTTTATTTTAAATATGGTTGACCCAGTCTTTTCAAATCTTAATGATAGGTTGTGATGGTTATATTAGCTGGTTATGCCATTGGTACACCTAAAGCAGAAGAGCTGAGAGAGGCACAGATAGAATGACCTGTAAGGCCAAGATTTCAGCAGGTTATAATGTCTGCTGCCTCTTTCTGTGATGCCACTGAAAAAACACTCAGTATGTGTTGTAAGGAATTCAGGAGTTTCTGTTGTATTTTTATTGAAGGTGTTTATTCACTATTGAAGTAAGTATGCTTGAGGTGTTGAGTAAATTATTAGAAACCTTAAATCCCTTTTATTTTTCCTCTTGGGATTATATAACTATTATTCTTGTTTACAGGCCTCTACTTCTAAACACTAATGGAGCTCAAAAGAAGAATCTATTTCAGCACATAGTCAAAGAACCAACTGATAATCACCATCATAAAGTAAATTTTAATGTATTTTATATTTATTGTCTCAAACTAAATTTTATTATGGCAGTATTTCATGCAGTCAAAGACATTTAGTGAATAATAATGTAAGTGCTCATTCCCCAGCTCTATTAAATCATGACATTTTCATTATTTGCTTTAAGTGTTTTAAGAAATAAATCATTACAAAATAGTTGTTTATTTCCAAGCTTTAATATTTGTTATTGCCATGGGTGTTTTATGTGTGAATTCAGGAGTATTGCTGCTATTTTGCATATGTCTAAATTTCATACAGATGATGTTATTTCAATACTCTGCATTGTGACTTGCACTTTGATACAAGGGTTTGATTGAACACGGGCCTCTTACCCGCTAAGCTCGCAGCATACCACTAAGCTGTATCTCAGCAGTGTGGCCTTTTCATTACTTTTGGAATTGATAAAACAAATGCAGTTTGCTATGCTGCTGTATAGATTGAACAGAATGATAATGTCGTCTTGGTATAATATGATTGTGGAACTCACTGCTACTTACTCCTTTTCATCTTCTGTGATAAGTAATGTACTGACTAGGTTGCTTTTCTCTAGCAATTTCAAATATTTTGTATACTTGTATTTTTTCTATAGACATATCTAATTGCAGATTAGTCTAACATCAAGCTAGTCTAAGCCTCTTTTTTGATACTGCTTTCTTGTTGATAATCCTTTTTTTCTTTTTTGATAGTACTAGATATCAAATCTAAGTTCTTGCATGGCAACGCAAATGCTGTACCACTGAGTTACTATTGTTAATTTGAATGTTGGGATTTTTAAATATTGAGTCAGATTTATTATTGAACTTTTATTGAGATTTTGTTTATTTATCTTTTATTTTACCCTCTCTGGGACAAAGCAGTGTCAACTTAATATCAGTGTTCATCCCACTTCTTTTTCTAAACCAAGTAGTTGTAGCCTGAGTTTTGGATTGATCTTATATAAGTAGATGAGTGTTCGTTTTGTTTGGTTGTTTTAGTTTAACTGAAATTTACATATTTTTAAAGTATTTCATGTATTTTAGATGGTTTTTTAAAAATAGAACTTATGTATTTTTAAGCACTTTCAACTTTTACCTCTGTCATCTAGTGTTAAAACTTTAAAAAAATTTGCACTATAATAATGATTTGCTTACTTTTAGAGAATTGAACTTCTTAATGTAACTGACCTGAATGTACCCATACATTTTTTCTTTTTCTGTTGGTGATAGTAGAGATTGAACCTAGGGTCCCATGCTTGTTAGGCAAGTATTGTGCCACTGACATATATCCCCAGCTCCTTTTTTTCATTTTGTGATAGGATCCCACTAAGCTGTCTAGGCTGCTGTTGAACTCACTCTGTAGCCCAGGCAGGTCTTGAACTCGGAATTTTCCTGTCTGAACCTCCTGAGTAGTTGGGGTAACAGGCCTGGGCTACCTCTTAACATTAAAAAGAACAAGTTGTTGGTAAAACAGCCAAAGTATCTTTAACTATGGAATTGTTGAAGTTCTGAATATCTCTCAGTGAAGCTATTTAATGAGTAAGAATAAAGCCTCTTGTAAACAGCAGGTTCAGAGAGTGCAGTCACTGTCAGTGCAGTGGCTGTGAGATTATGATGGAAATTTCTGAAGGCCTAGCACTTGTTTACTGTTTATCTATAAAGTCCTTTAGAATTTGAAGATCTTCAGAGAGACAGTCTTTGGGCACGTCATCTTCAGGGTCTCTTACAATAAAGCAATTTGTTGTTAAGTAGAATATGGGTATATACTTCATAGCTCTGTCAAATGATATTACAACTCATTAATATGTGAGTCCCAGAAGGGCAGAGGACAAAGCTGTTTTGTTTACTGTCCTCAACATTTGGTAAATAGAATGTGTCCAGTTTATTTATTTAATGATATCCTTTGTAGTAGTCCATACGTTCTTGTTTTCTCCTGATTCTTTAGGTTCCACATAGTAGGACTGAAGGTTTAAAGTCAAGAGAGCGGATTTCAGATGACATAATTATTTATGATGTTACTGATGATAATGCGGATGAAGAAAATATTCCAGTTATTCCAGAAACTAATGAGGATGTTATATCTGATCCCTCCAAGTAAGGAATCAGGAGATATTTGGGAAAATGTTCATTATTTGTTCTTAGCAAACAAATTACAAACCCTGGTTCTTTGAAAAATTTAATTTTTCCATATTTGGTTTGAAATACTAATCTTTTCCTCATATTTAGAGTATTGAACCAGATAAACCGTACCTCCAAAAAAAAAAAGAATGAAAATAGATGATTTTTATTTGGAGTTAAACCTTTTTCCTTGATTCATTGTGGTTTTCTATCTTACGAATTATCAAAATTAAGCTACTTACTCCAGAAAAGGAAGCCTTTTAATAGGTGATTTGTGAATCCCACCAGAGAATGGAAATAAATTTGCCTTCTCTAAATTATATTTTTTTTCTCATATCACTGCTGTAGCTGTAGCCAGTATCCTGATATTGTGATTGTTGAAGATGACAATGAAGATGAGTATGCTCCTGTCATTCAGAGTGGAGATCAGAACGAACTAGCCAGAGAGTCGTTCAGTTTGGGAACCGCTGGCAGCAGCCCTGTTATGTCTGGTGCTGTCCAGCTAAATGGCTCATCCGGTCTGCCCTCCGAAGATCCTGTGACCATGATGGATTCCATTTTGAATGATAACATTAACCTTTTGGGAAAGTGAGTATTCATCTAGAAGCTTTGAGTTACTTTTTAGTATTCAGTTCAATAATAAACCTGAAGTAAATATTAAATTTCTATAAATTCAAAGTAATAATGATAGCTCAAGTGGTACAGTGATCTTCCTTTTAGATGCTGACCCTGTCTTGTCTCTTTTGTATTGATCAAAGTTAAACTCTGTAGTCAGGGGTTTAATTGTCCCATAAGTAGTCTTGGAACTTTGTTGAGCAATTCATTAATTTTTTTTTAAATAAAATTCTTGTAACTGTAAGGTATTCGTGCTTTTAACTGTACCAATTCTGTATACTAGTGTAGTATCTATCAAGGGACACATTACATTAAAAATATAGTAATTTATTGTACAGAAGTAATCAATTTGAATATTAGGAGTATTAATGAGATAGAGAAGAAAGGGGGAAAGTACACCTTTATGGCAGCACATCTTCTCTGAAAATACTAAAAGGTATAAAAGGTACGAGTTTTTCAATTTTTAGAAATCCCAGATCTTAAATGTGATGTCTTTAGAACTGGTAAGGACTTACGTCACTAAGGTGATTTTGTAGAGCTGGATTACCAGCAGTGATTTGAAATGTAAGTATGAGAATACTTAATAAATGTGAAATTGTTTTTTTTTTTTCTTTAGGGTTGAGCTGTTGGATTATCTTGACAGCATTGATTGCAGTTTAGAGGACTTCCAAGCTATGCTTTCAGGAAGACAGTTTAGCATAGACCCAGATCTTCTGGTTGATGTAGGTATTTTGGATAATCTTTACTATACTGGTAGTTTGTGTACATCTATATATTTAAAATCAATACTTTTTTGTAGTCTACACTTCTGCATTTTACTTTCTTAATTAATGATTTTATTAGGAAGCATAAACAGGCGGATATAGGACACTGATAATGTGATCACTGTGTGCCTCTGAGGAGCAGTTGCTTCTCTGGTAACAACGTACCATTGTTTTTCAACATTACCACTACTAAATACAGGCTGTGTCTGGACTTGTTGCTGTGTGTTACTGTATGTATATCTTGTTTTAGAATACATTGTCACTGAATAAAGATCTTTGAAAGTTAGTAATAGAAGTACCTAATCAGGGAGTATCATAGAGACACTTCTTAATACTTGGGGAGTTAATGTTTTCTAGTAAAATACCTTTCATTATATTTGCTATATTTTGAATATCTTGAGTGATTCCCTATTCCAGTCTTTGTCACCGTCTGTGTGAACTTACTCCAGTATTGTCTGGACTGATAATCTTTTCTCTGATTTCAGGCCCTACGAATCTTTCTCACCCATTTTGCTTTTGTTCTCTGGCATTCTTCTCACCCTAGCCAAAGCTTTCTAGATTCATCTAACTTTGGCCTACTCGTATGAGTCTTGTTCTTTGCTGGATCTGTTTATTCTGAGAAATCTTTTGCCTTATAATGAACCTTCTTTAACATCAAAAGATTCCGTAATATATCACTTTAATGTCTTAAACTTTAACTTCTTAATGATGCCAAAAGGAATTAGTCCTTTCTTTTTTCAGTCTAATTTCTGGTTAATTAATCATTTGCATCTCTTCTCATGAAATTAATCTGTCACCTAGCTTAAACACCCTTCCCAAATCATCAGTACCACTCAGGATTGTATTTCACTGTCTTTAAAGATTTTCTTCCCATGCTGACCTTGTTACCATGGTAAGTGAATTAAACTTCCATATGATATCCCATTTCAGCTAGATAGCAGTAACCTACCAGTCCTTGAGTTCATCAGACCCATTCCCAACTCTGAATGTGGGTGTTAAAAACAAAATTCTGGTTATCTATCCTATGGTCTTTGGATCATTTCAATTTTACTTTGAACATTTACTGAATTCATATTCAAACTTCTGTATTTGCTCAGAATATTTCACTGTGCTTCAGGCCTCAAGCTTCGGCCCTTTGCAGTTTTGTATCCTTTCTTAGAGAAAATAACTCAATGCCTCCTTAAGCCCAGGTGTGTGTGTGTGTGTGTGTGTGTGTGTGTGTCTGTCTGTCTGTCTCTGTCTCTGTCTCTCTCTCTGTCTCTCTCTCTCTCTCTCTCTCAGTGTCCCTCTGGTTTTGTTTGCTTTATCCATTTTTCATCAGCTGGGCTGGTGGAAGATGACATGCTTTGAATTAGACAAGTCTGAGTTCTGATATTCTTCTCAATACTTAGTAAATGTTACTGGCCTTAGAAAAATTAACTTCCTTTTTTAAGACAGGGTTTCATGTATTCCCTAAGCTGGCCTTGAACATGGCATGTAGCTGAGGATGATCTTGACCTTCTGTTCTTCCTGCTTCCCTCCTAAGTGATAGGATTACAGGCATGCATTAGACCATTACACCCAGTTTACACTGTGGTGTGATTAAACATATATTTTCATGCGTGCTACTCAAGCACTCCCAACTGAGCTACATCTCCAACATGGAAAAGTTTTCTTTCCCAGTTTCTTCATCTATTAAATAGGGCTAATGCTTAACATGAAGGACTGTTGGAAGAATTACAAATAATTAACCCTACTATTAGTGCTGTATTTTAGTACTATAGAGTGGTCTACAAGAGAATTCATTTTGTTTTTGAGACAAGATCTCATATAACGTAAACTGGTCTTGTATCTAAGCATCCACCTCTCACATGCTAGGGTTATAGATGAGTTCCATATGAGGGTCTCAGCATCTTCCTAATTATTCTCTTTTCCTGTAAGAATTTTTTTTTTTCCTGATTTCTTCTACTTTGGAACACTCAATTTTGTATCTTTTTTTTTCCCTCTATTTCTTGTCTCTCTGTTCTTCCTCTGTGAAAACATTTTGACATTACTATGCTGTTCTGAAATGTGCATATCTCTGTTTCTTAATACTTTAAATGCAAACTTGGCTCAAAGTCCACTCTATAACTTTGGGATATTCTGCTTTATGTGCCTGTCTTTAGATTATTTAATTAGATTGTAGTGTCATAAATTTTAAAGTCTACTTGTTCTCTGAAATGGGTGGTGAAGATCGTCAAAATGTAAACCACTAAGTGCATTGTAGAATTCTGGCTTTTCTTTACAAAGTTCAGTTCTTTTCTTATATCAGGGTGGAGTCAGGAGGAGGTCATCAGGCCTCACAATTGAAGAAGTTGTGTCAGTTCTTTATATGTGAACTGTGTATTGTCCCATCTATCTTCTGCGAGTATGTGCGAGATACTCCAAAGTCAGTAAATAGGATTTCGAGGCATAAAGGGAGAGAGAAGCTTACATTGCTGGCCTCACTCAGGTGTACCACCCTGTTTATAGGTACAAAATTTCATCAGGCTTCTCTAAAATAGTCACAGGCTGAATTGACATACAAATAGTAGTCATCTACCACCGGAGATTTGAGCTCTTTACCTCTTCAGCAGCCAGTGGGTGATAGGAAAAGAAAGGGAAATAAAATGAAAGGGAACTGAGGATATTCTTAGGACAGCTATGGTCTTTTAAGAAAGGAGTCCATGTCTAAAGAGAATGGAAGAAGAAAGAAAACTGTGACCTCTGTATTTCATTGTTTGTGAACCATTGACTTTGGTCATTCTTATAAAATGCGAACCTAATTTCTGTTTCAGTGCTCAGACTATTCTTAGGGGTCTTATTCCTGATAGGATGTGACCTCATCCACTGAATAGCTTTGCACTGCTTCTTTTAAACTTGTGTATATAACTGTTCAAGTCAGAACTTGTGTTATTTGGGTTGGTCTGAACCATTTCTAGAACATGCTCTACCTTTTTGGTGTAACTGTAACTCAGGACTCTGCTGTCTTCTCTTGGGACTGCTGATACCTACCTCGTAGCATCATGTTTATGCCTGTGTCTGTGCTTTCCTCCCTTCTTGGTCTCCAAACGCCTTTCTGCTTTTAAAGCTCTACTAACTGTTGTGAAACTCGATCATGTATGAGTTAGCTATTTAATGTCAGTATTGTCTTGTAGATTGTAAGCTCCTGGAGAGCAGAGAGAATGTTTCATGGTGATGACTTAAAAGTTGTATTTATGAATTGGCTGGACTGTGAGTATAGCTCATTGGCATTATTTTGACACTTACCAACTTCCTTTGCTATGTGGAACATAAAACGAAGTAGGTATGGCATTTTGTCAGGGCTCCACTTGTCATGTATGTTAGGTTTCACTGTCAGAGTAGGTTCAATGAATGCTTAGTTTAAAGACATGGGACTTAGCATTTGGTGCTACATATGGCCAAGGATGTTTAGGGAGAGAAAAAAGATAAGAAATTGAATGGAGATTAAGGAAGGGATAAGAATTGTGGGAAACTATCTCAGATGATTTATCCCCCTGTAGAGAAATCCTTACAACATAAAACTCCCATCTAGTGCATGGCCAGCTCGCCCTGCCTCTGTTTGCTTTTTCGCTCTGCTTTCCTGCTTTTCCAACCTTGTGTTAATCTGTGGAAACTTCCCAGTGTAGGAGTGACAGCCCTTCACTCAACATGGTTGTATAGAAATTTTTAACACACAGATCTTTTAAAATATTTTTTAAACTTATCATCTTTCTTGTTTGGTCTTTCAGCTTTTCACTAGTTCTGTGCAGATGAATCCCACAGATTACATCAATAATACAAAAGTAAGTTTTAATTCATGTTGCTCAGGACCCATAGCTATAAAAATATGAAAAAGTCCTAGTAAACATACATAGAAAGCAGTATCACTCTCAATTACAGAAAACATTTTATATCCTTACCTTGTGTGTGATTGAGATAGTAAAGTACTAGATGGAAAATCAGCCTTTGATTATGGGGTTATTCTTCATTGCCCAATTCTGCTGGTACATGTGGGATTCACTCTCAGTAGAAAATCAGCCTCTTAGTGCTGGGAAATCACCTGGCCTTGGCTTGTTCAGATATTTCTTTGAAATATACATGATTAAAATATAATTTCTACATTTTATATTCTTTCTTTCCATAAACAATTTCTCAGCTTTTTCAGTTGAAAATAACTGATCCATATTTCTTCTGTAAGTTCCTTCACTTTGTTAGCATTTTAAAAAGTAACTAAAGCAAAGGCAAAATTTACTAGGTAGGAGCTTTACCTGTATAAAGCTCCTTTTTTTTTTCCCCAAAATATTTTTTTTTCAACATATAGGAACTCCAGTTGGACTTAAGAAATTGACAGGAGATTCTTTTTTTTTAATTTATTTTTTATTTTTTATTTTTTTTTTGTTTTTCGAGACGGTTTCTCTGTAGTTTTGTGCCTTTCCTGGAACTCACTTTGTAGACCAGGCTGGCCTCGAACTCACAGAGATCCGCCTGGCTCTGCCTCCCGAGTGCTGGGATTAAAGGCGTGCGCCACCACCGCCCCGGCGACAGGAGATTCTTAAGGACAGTTTTTCATGGCAGATGCTTATAAATCTATGTTATTTTTATATAGCTTAATCATCTTAAATTTATTCCCCATATCTAGTATGTATACCAAATTGTCAATCTTTATTTTTTACTGATTACAAAATAAATCAAGTTCAAATTTTGGATTAGAGAAGTCAGTTACATTCTTGTCTTTTGTAATCCAAAATGAGATATCTCAAATAAATATGAATGATTGTAGAGTTGATGAGTTGAAATGTTCTATTGTCATGTGTAAGGAGATAGCCTGGCCAGTTTTCCGACGTTTTTGAAGGTTCATCTTGGCTGACACAGAGCCTCAAAACTTTATGAACTTGTAGGGGACACTGTTTGAGTTATTGACATACGGCACACTATTTCTGTAAATAGCCAAATCTACTAGATGTTTTTGGTTTTATAAGTTTTATGTCACAACTGTCAGTGCTGTAATTGTAGGTTAAGCAGATAGGGGTAATGCATATAAGAATGTTTTGATAGACATTTCAAATAAACTGGCAGTAAGCTGAATTTCACCATCATTTGCTAGGCTTATAGTATATATATTTTGTCAGTATATTGAGTGTTATTAAGACATAATATTTTAACTTAGTGAATATGCTTTGCTGTTTATTGCTAAAACTGAGTCATTGTTCTTTGATTGTCCTCATTCTAGAAACCAATAACTTGAGAATTTTCATTAGTCTCAGTAACAGAAAATTGCATATTGCTTTTTTATTTTTATGAAAAATATTTTTAAGAGTAATGTTTTATAGTTCTGAGTCCAGAGTGATTGCAAATTATTGGTATTTTTATCTCTAAATTTTATTCATGACAAGGGTATAATGACATTTAACATAATATTTTCTTAGTCTGGATACCTTATACTCCTTAGTGTAGCTGAGTGTCCACTACTAATGAATAAGAACTTTCTTGGGAAAAAATACATAAATACATTCATAATCTTGGTTCTGAGATTAGAATATCAACAGTGGCATCCTTAGGAAATACCTGTTTCAAGTATGAAATGTATTAACATTTATATATTGTGACTTCTAAATGATGGACTGTTTTTACTTAAATATTTAGAATGGTTTAGTCTTTATCTTAGGGTCATTGTCTTTCTAGTATCATAGAAACTTTTACTGCTTCACTTTGTGATAGCTATCAGAGGGATGTACGAATTATACAGATGTTTGTTATACTATGCATACTAAAGCAACTTGTAGACATGTGGTACTCGGCAGTATCTGGAACTTAAGATTATCAGAAATAATTGAGCCTCGCCTGCACCTGGGAGTTGGAGTACTGCTGAAAAGGTGCTGGTATCTCAGCAGCACTGTAGATTGAAATCCCCTGTGAGCCAGAAAGGAAGACGACAGTGGCTGAAAGACTCAACCGCAAGGCAATAAAAGAACCTAAGGAGTCACAGAAAGGACAAGAAGAAACCATCACAGTTGAGGCTCCCAAGAGCAGGGATGGTTTCATAGATGTCACTGTGTCATCCTTCACGACTCTGAGGCATTTATCTGTGCTAGCTCTTCTGGTCACATGAAGAATATTGTGGGATGCATTACTAATCAAAACTGTTTAAAATGCATATTTAATTATATCCTCACTAGCATGTAAAACCACCTGTCTTTGATTTATTCCCGTCTTTAGTCTTTGACAATTCTGTCTGTCCTATCACTGAAATGCCCTTTTCTTTCCTTCTTCGGGTACTTTATTCTGGCCCTTGAGGACAACTTTCTTAGCCAGTCTGGTTAATTCCAGTGAGATTTTTCTCTTCAGTTCATCTTTCCTGATGGTCCCCTTTCTAGTATATTTCAGATGTGTTGATGTTATTTTATCAGTTGTTAATTTTTGATACCCTTAAGGAATGTAAAATGTAAAACAAGTATTTTCATGTAATTTATTTTCTTTTAGTCTGAGAATAAGGGATTAGAGGCTACTAAGAGCAGTGTCATTCAACAAGTTTCAGAAGAGGGAAGAAAATCCAAGTCCAAACCAGGTAGGTATTCAAGTAGTCTTAATTTCTGTAGTTGCAAACCATGCAAATATTGTCTTACTCAACAGCTGGATGGGCTGGGCTCTTGCGTAGCATTTGTAAAGCCCTGGGTTGAATCCTACAAGTGTAGTGTAGCACTACCGAAAATGAAACCCATATAAACAAGTGAAGATGGACTGCTGCCTTGGCTTCTTTGGATGGTGTCTTAAGTTTATAGTACCCAAACAAAATGTAAATGGGAGGTAATGGTTCCTGGAGTTTGAATCCCCTCTCCCCCTTATTTAACATTAAAAGACAAATCTTATAGCTAAATTGAATTTAGGCTAACTTTGCTGACAGATAACTTCTCATTTGGATATATAAAAGTATCTTTTATGATATTTGTAGATAAACAACTTATCCAGTATACTGCCTTTCCACTTCTTGCACTCCTCGATGGAAACCCTGCTTCTGCTCTTGAACAGGGGAGTACAACAGCATCATCAGAAGTTATACCCTCTACAAATAAACCTGTAGAAGTTGATGAGCTTCTGGCTAGCAACCTGGACCCAGAACCAACCCAAAGTAAGCTTGTTCGCCTGGAACCGTTGACTGAAGCTGAAGCTAGTGAAGCCACACTGTTTTATTTATGTGAACTTGCTCCTGCACCTCTGGATAGTGAAATGCCACTTTTAGATAGTTAAAACCCACAAATGGACACTATGTATATATTCATCAAAATGATGAAGTATTTATTTTAAAGTATCATTTGGTACTTTGTTTTGTAAATTACTTTTTGTTTAATCAGATACTGTGGAATAAAAGCACCTTTTGCTTTTCTCACTAACCACACTCTTGCAAAGCTTTCAGATGTTACTCGGCTGCCTAGGTATATAAATTTTAATGCACATTATTGGAATATCTTAAGTTGAATTCAAATGACCATTTTCTCAAGTTGTAGTAATTTGAATTTTTTTATATACAAATATGACCATTTAATCCCAGTTGAACTTGTTTATTTGCAATTGAGTTTAAGTTTTTAGAACTAAAGATAGAAAACTCTGTTCTAGTTAGTTTTATTAAAGTATTTTTGACTTGGTTTATTTGTAAAACTGGGAACATAAAGTGCCTGTATCTTGTAATATTTCAAGTCTTTCTTGGTTCAGAGAAATTCTTTTATGTTCAGAGAAATGTGTTAGTAACAGAAAAGGCAAAGTGTGCACGAGTAATCTCTGAAGGGGTTCCAGCTCCACATATGTGAAAGAACGTGGAGACAGGTGGTTGCAGTTAAACCCGTCCACTTAGACTAGCTCAAGTATGTTTTTGGGTTTGTTCTTTTGAACCATGGTATTTAGTAAATAAATATGACGAATGTTGAGTACTAGTATTTGTTGTGTCGTCTTTGGAAGTGATGCCCACATGAAATGAAGGTGGTGGCTTTAAACTATGTGTTGTCCATTTTTATCACAGTGTTGGTCACATCAAGGTCCTTGTGCTTTATCTGAAAAAATACTGTCTATTGCAGTAAGGAAAGAATATGATGCTTCTGATCTTAATGTATTTTAATGTTCTTTGTTTAAAAAGCATACTGGCTTGCTTTTTATGTTTCTAATAAAGAACTGAGAGAAAAATACCTCTCATTGTTGCAAACAAGGTAAGAACATTATCGGTTGATGCCACCAAATGCCTACATTTTTTGTCCTGATACAAGATAAGAGAATCAAATCAACTCGTCTCTTTCAGGGTTGGCGAGGCCTTAAGGCCAGGGTACTTTAAAACTTCAGGAAGTCTACACTCAGGCAGAAGGCTAGAAGCAGTGCAATTAATATCTAAATAGTACATGTAATTAATTAGGCAGTAGGCACTTCAAGAAGGCTTTTCTGGCCATACTGTGCTTCAGGTATTAGAATTTTCTTCCATGTGGTAAATTAGAGTTCTAATAAATTAACATGAAATCTAGGATTTCCTGGTCTTTTCTGACCTCCTTCGTTCAGTCCTCCAGTCTGTATTCCTTCACTGGCTTCATGCAGAGAAGTGTACACAGCTTCTAAAAATATTATTCACAAAAGGAACAGACTTGGCTTTCCAAATAAGTGTATAGAAGAGCCATCCAACCCTCCTGCATACCCACTTTAGACTAATCAGTCATCTTTGATTATGTTCTGAGCTTTTGAAGTTGATCTGTTAAAGCTTTTAGTGTGCACTGGTACATAATAGTCCAAATTTTGTGAGTTGTGAAACATAAAAAGGTAATTTTTTTCACAAGTACATCTTTTACTGGGATAAACAGGATTTAATAAAGGCCGTTGAGCATCAGTTTTGATTTTTTAATTGATATAACAAATTTCATGTATTCATACAAAATAAAGGAATTTTGTTATAATGTTAATTCTTTTAACTCTTTCATAATTATATGTCAGAATTCAGCTAGTCATCAGGTCATGTTTAATTTTTCTGAAAGCAAAATACAAGAAACTGACTCCTAGGCGCCATCTACCCATGTCTGGGCCTGATCTGTTCAGAGAAATTCAGATCTCTCCTCCTAATATAAAGGTTGTACACTATTGAACAGCACAGCAAATACATTATGTAAAGGGAATGAGGTACAGGTTGGACAGTGTCCTTTCTAAGTGACTCAGTTGATCTAACTAAACCTCTTTGGTTTAGCTTGGCTCAGCTGGTTTCTTCTTCAAGCAGCTGGGGCTTGTCTGAGTCTTTGCAGCTTTGCTCTTTTCTAAGGGGAGCTCAGCTTTTTTTTTTTTTTTTTTTTTTTTTTGGTTTTTCGAGAAAGGGTTTCTCTGTGTAGCTTTGCGCCTTTCCTGGAACTCACTTGGTAGCCCAGGCTGGCCTCGAACTCACAGAGATCCGCCTGGCTCTGCCTCCCGAGTGCTGGGATTAAAGGCGTGCGCCACCACCGCCCGGTGGAGCTCAGCTTTTATTGCCTATTCTGGTAGGAAAGGGACTAGTGAATCTGATCGGTTTCAGGAACTTCCTGAAGCTATTTTGAGTTTTACTACTTAAGAGCTGCTTACTATAGGATGCAATGTTTTAATCTCAGAGGAGACTTACATAACAGGGGGAGTGTTTCTTTTGACGCTGGCTGTCTCTAGCAAATAGCAGTTTAGCCACTACATCTTACATACATACTTAGGGGATGAATGGACCACAAAGAAAAAATAGGGAATATGGTAGGTACATCAGTGGGTTCCAAAGCATAGTAAGATTGATTACATTGTTTTTATTGAAAGTTATCTTAAACAGGCAGAATGAGTACATAGTTGTAAATGCTCTCAAATGCTATTAACTGGGCCACAGGTTAACGTTTGGTTTGCAAAGGCAAGCTACAAGTAGTATTTCATAAACAAGCCATTTCCACATTTTGTAATTGTTATACACTAACCCAGATTTTGAGTTGTTACTTATTTAATCATTTGCACACTGAAAGACATCTATTCTCTAGTTTTGACTATTAGAACTGCTGTACTGGCTAGAGACCAGAGTTCAGTTCTCAGCACCAGTCAGGCAGTTCCCAACCACTTGTAACTAGATCCAGAGAATCCAGTGCCATCCACTGGCCTCCAGTCTGTCTGTCTCTGTCTCTCTCTCATACACAATTACCTGCCTAAATACTCTAACTGAATAAAGAATTTACAAACAAAGTATACCAAAGTCTGGCAGCTGCTATAATTGATGTCAAATATTCCCATGTTTATGGTGTGGTTCCCAGGGTACTAAGGAGCAGTGATGGAAACTACAGAAGGTGGGGCCTTGTAGGCATATTCTTGAAGATGATGTAATCCTGGCCCCTTTTGAGGGGTGAGGAGTCCAGAATCTTGCTCTGCCATGGATTCTCACTGGCATGATACCTTGACAGACTCGTAAGTTCTCTCACATATTCCATTATAGTGATAGGAAGTTAATGTAGTAGTTCATGGATAGGGATGTTTTATCAGTACAGTTGTGTACTAGTTAGTGTTTATATCAACAACAAACAGGCTAGAATCATTTGGGAATAGAAAACCTCAAATGATAAAATGTCCCAACTATACTGGCCACCTTCTGGCCATTTTCTTAAACCATCATTGATGTAGGAGGGCCCAGCCATCCTGGAATGATATAAAAGTAGGCAGACAGACCAAATCATAGGGAGCAAGCCAGTAAGTAAGCAGGACTCCCCCGTGGCCTCTGTATTGGTTCTTCCCCAGTTTGCTTATGGTCATGGTGTTTTTTCACAGCAACAGAAAGAAACTCTGAGACCAATTATATTGTTGGACACGCCACAACTTTTAAAACCATGGCTGGTGGAGGACACAAGAGGTGTGCATTTTCAGTTTTCAGAACTAAAATCCATTCTCTAGACTGAACTGGCTAATCTACCGAAGGTTCTTTAGGGGTAAGAATACCACTTTACTTTTGAGAACCAACTTCAGGACTCAACAGACACAAAAGGGGTAAAATCACTTTCAAAATAATTTGTCAGAGTAGAAGGTGGGTATTTGCTCTCTAGAGCCCCGTTCTTTTCACACAAGGAAAAAGAAATCTTTAGTTAAACCCACCTGAGGTTTTAATGCTAAGGAAACACCACCACACAGTTTCTCTGAATTCATTTATTTAAGAGACAGAACACAGGCATTCAAAATTGTGAAACACAATATTAACACAGTAAGTTTGAGAAATTAAGAGGAATTGTTATATTCCATGTGCAGAATAAATATTTTTAAGAAGCAAATGTAAACTAAGCTTTACTAGGTAACTAATTTACACAAACATTTTTATCTAAATTAAATGGCATACTGATTTTCAAATTGACTATTTTATCAGTTACATGGCAGTAAATACATTTTAAGCATGTTTAAATGTATAGTGTAATATAATGTAAGTAGTCTATTCTACAAGTTCCTTATACGCCTGGCCTTCATGTTTGTATAAAAAGCATGCAGAACAGTGGCAATACATATCACAAATTAACATTAATGATTTATGAAATGAATTACTGTATTTTGGATATAAAAATTTTTATGTCAATGTTGGCTAGTTTTGGTAAACTTATAACTTCTCAACTTTGCCACTAACTAGCTGTTTGAGCTAGCTGAGTCTGTGCTTCTGCTTCATTTTTAAAGTAAGAGCTGGACGGGATCCCAAGTCCCTAACCCAGAGCCTAATACTTCACATCCTGTCTGAGGAATCCCAGTTTTGATTTGCAAATGTTTAGTTTCAAAATTTTTCTAACACATGATTTTCATTTCAAAACTTTGTGTAAATGCTAACATCTCTGAAATCCATAACTGTATGTTTGTAAAGAACAAAGTTCATTTTGTTGGTGAAGGCCACCCTGTCTTACAGAGAAAGCTAAGATCTTAGATCTCATGATCTAAGAGTATTTATTCACTTTAAAACCCACTACCAGAGACTTTGTGTGAAGGCTCTTGTCTGTTCCTTAGCCTTCCTCCACATCCTATACTGTTTTCCAATGAACATGACCATTCTGTACCTAGTAAGAGAAAATCCTGACAAACCTAAAGTGACTTGCATTTTGCAGACAACTAGCTTGTGACTTATTTACATAATTTTAGAACAACTATTTGCTTTGAGTCCTGTAAGGCAACACACCAAGTATTTCAAAAGGCAGCCATACAGTAATGTTTCTAAAATAGCATAAGGTCTAACACAATTTGAGACCAACTGTCAAGAATTTTTTTACTTTTAATTTCATATGTACAGAGCAGATGATATGCCTATCAGTGTTCATCTTTGCTAATTTGCCACCTTATTCAAAATTCTGTCTTTGCAATCCATATCATCAATACACTTAGCAAGAACATGGATAAAATGGCAGAGTAAATCTAATTCATGCAAGAGAAAAACAGTACGTTATACAACAACACATAAAACTTTACAAAAATTGGGAATACTGTTAATGTCAAATAAACAATTACCAAAGTAGGGCTTTCATGCCAGAGGTCCGATTCAGTCAAAATCACGATTTGTAAGAACAAGTGGTGCCACCAGTGTCCAAACATACAGCACGATGCCAATCCAGCTGGAAGAGATTTTCACCCAGACTGCTGTCCACTGACTCTTCATCTCGCGAGAAGGCTCATACCTAAAATTCGAGGAAATGTAGAAGTGACTACTTTGGTGAATGGACTGTGTTACTAAGCCATCAAACTACTAGGCCCCTTCACTCAAGCTTCCTTTGTATGGTTTTGGGATACCAATGTGCAGTAGCTCATCCTGCTGCCATGCCTTCCATACTGACGCATCAGGAAGACTTCCTTTGAGCACAGCACAGAACTGAGGCAATCTTTCGCATAGTTCTAAAGCACAGTATGTAATTATACATGTTATTAAATAGGAGCAGATGAGACCTGAGTAAATAATATGTGACTATTATGTACAAGACTGGAAGGTTTATGGGCCTCCCTTCTCAGCTAACACTACTTCCTCTCTCAGATTTGACAGATAGGAAATATGTCCTGAAGTTAGCTGATTTTTGTATACAAGCAGAAATATAAATTTTACATTTTTAAAACTAATTTTTTAACATTTGGTATCATCTGATAGTAAAATTTATGAATTACGGAGAGCTACCTACATCTTGGTTTAATAAGATATAGTTTAATATTTCGATTAAAATATACTTTTTTATCATAAAAATATAAATACTAGCCTCAAAAACATCAGGGAAGAATAATATTTTTCTCCATCTTTTGCTGGTATAAGTATTTTATACACTTTACAGATATGCATTAAAAATTACTGAAAACACACTTGTCCAACTATATAGGTCAATGTCAATCTTGTGTAGAATCTTTTGGTAATCATTTTAGACAAAGTCAGTTTAAAAACAAACTACAAGCCGGGCGGTGGTGGTGGTGGCGCGCGCCTTTAATCCCAGCACTCGGGAGGCAGAGCCAGGCGGATCTCTGTGAGTTCGAGGCCAGCCTAGGCTACCAAGTGAGTTCCAGGAAAGGCGCAAAGCTACACAGAGAAACCCTGTCTCAAAAAAAAAAAAAAAACTACAAATGGTTACTTTTTTCAGGAAAGTCTGAATTTTGAAGGATAAAAAACACAGTTAAGAGAATAATACTAAAAATAGAATCACATAATGTATTCACATTCAAAAATGTTCAGATATCTTATACCTGAAACTTATATCTGATGTTTTATGTGTATGATTGTTTTGCCTCTATGTATGTCTCAGCATGCGGTGCCCATGTCTATACAAGGGTATCAGATCCCCTGGAACTGGAGTTACAAATAAGTACCAGATGGGTTCTGAAAATTGAATCTGAGTCCTCTGGAAAAGCAGCCAGTGCTCTTAACCAGTCATCTATCTCACCAGCCCAGCTTAATGATAGAGTTTTAAAAGAACCACTGTTTTTAAGACTGTATACTATTACTATATTGTGTTAGGAATAAATTTACAGTATTAAAAATAACTAAACAGTATATTAAATCAACTATTAACATGATGGTTATATAAAGTTTTTCATTTAAACTTCAAGATTTGGGCAACCACATTTGTGTATTTGTTAAGGAAGTAAAATCTGTATTTCTCACTCTCAGAATTCATTTTAACTAAATATTGAACTACATCAGAGGATTAAAAAGTACTTTGAAGCTTGAGAAATGGCTTGCCTTGCAAACATAAGAACTGGAGTCTGATCCCAGAACCCACATTTTTAAAAAGCCAGGTATGGTGGCACTCACTTGTCATTCCACTAGGGGAAGGATGGAAATAGGGTAATCACCAGAGTTTTCTGGCTAGCTAGCTAGTCTATCTGGTGTTCCATCTCTGGCCTTCACACACCAGGTACACATGCACTCAAGTACTTACTGTCACATATTTTACAACAGAGTCATGAAAAAACCACCAAAATTACCCAAAGTTAATGTGAGATGTGAGTACCTGTACCAGTTGGTAAGGGTCATCATGATATAAAGTGAAGCCAGGAAAAGCATGAAGTGAAAGAAGGAGTAACTGTAAGTGACGCCATCCCTTTCATTATCTACAGCTCGGTGGACATCATCACCATCTTCTAGAGATCCATCACTTCTGGCATTCCCATCTTCTATTAGTGTTGACTCATCACTTGTTAGAGTCAGCTTATTAACCTGACTATTGTTGGAGGTACGGATGCTGCATGAAAAAGAAAAACGACTTTTAAAAATAAGTAATTCCTTAATCTATATAAATACACTCTCTGTAAAAGATTGTATAGCCTTTCTTACCTTGAGTAAAACACACACAGTAGGAAGAGAACCAGTCCTATGATCCCTTGGGGATGCCACCACTGCACAGACTGCCCATCCTTTGGGAGAGGTCTTGTGCTATTGAAGCCAATGATGCTTAGAAGACTTGGGTTGCAGTTTGTTTCTATAAAGTACATTGAAGTCAAAATAAATGTTAGAGCAGTATAAAAAAATCAGGATATTAAGGGGTTTTTCCTGCCTAATTTTATTTTAGAAAACTTAAATTACTTTATTTCCAACCCTATGAGAGCCAAGATATCTTGATCAACAACTGGATACAATTTAGACAACCTACCTAAAGTTAATACATTTAGAAAAACGATGCAAACTGGTGTAGCCATTTAATATCTAACAAAATAGACTACAAACCAAAACTAATAGGGAAGGACACTACATACTTACTATCAAGGAAAAATTCATCAAGACATTTTAATTCTGAACAGCTATGCCCAAAACACCCAAGTTTGTAAAAGAAGCACTACTACAGCTTAAATCACATATTGACCCTCACACACTAATAGTGGGAGACTTCAATACCCCACTCTCACTAATGGATAGATTATCCAGACAAAAACTAAACAGAGAAAACTGGAGCTAACAAACATTACAAACCAAATGAACCTAACATGTTTATATGTTTATTTTTGTTGTTTTTTCTTTTTATTTAATTTATTCATTCATTCATTCATTCATTTATTTTTTGAGACAGGGTTTCTCTGTGTAGTTTTGGTGCTTGGATCTTGCTCTGTAGACTAGACTGGCCTTGAACTCACAGAGATCTGCCTGCCTCTGCCTCCCGAGTTCTGAGATTAAACGCCTGCACCACCACCACCCGGCTACAGATTTTTACAGAATACCAAGGCATATATATACCTTCTCTGCACCTCATGAAACTTTTTCCAAAACTGACCACAGTTGGACACAAAGCAAGTCTCAACAGATGTATGAATATTACAGTAACTCCCTTTAGCCTCTCAGATCACCATGGATTAAAGATGGCTGTCCACAACAGAAACAAAGGAAAGCTTACAAACTCAAGGAAACTGAACAACTCTCTACTGAGTGAAAACTGGGTCAAGACAGAAATAAGTTAAAGACTCTAATAATGAAAATAAAACACAGCATACCCAAGCTTATGGGGACACAATGAAAGCGGTGCCAAGAGGAAAGTTCATAGCACTGGGTGCCTATATGAAAAACTGGGGAGATCTCATACTAGCATAGCAACTTAACAGCACACCTGAAAGCTCTAGAGGCAAAGTAAGTAGGCACACCCAAGAGTACACAGCAAGAAATGATCAAACTGAGGTCTGAAAGGAAAAAACAGGAGGAAGCAAAGAGAACAATAAAAGAATCAATGAGACAGAGTTGGTTCTTTGAGAAAATCATCAAGATAGACAAACTCTCTAGCTAAAAGACAAGAGAGAATATCCAAATTAACAAAATCAGAAATGAAAAGGGGGACATAACAAGAGATACTGATGAAATCTAGATTAATTATAAGGACATACTAAAAACCTGTATTCTACCAAATTGGATAATCTAAAAGAAACTAATTTTCCCCATAGGTACCACTTACCAAAATTAAATGCAAGATCAGATAAACAATTTAAATAAACCTTAAATCCCTAAGGAAATAAAAGCAGTCATTAAAATTCTCATCTCTTGTAGCCACGTGAGGCTTCCAGTGGTGGAACTGGGTTACATTCAATTGAGTTGTTGGCCAAGTGGGTCCCATGGAAATTCCCAAACAACCCAGGCTGTTGGTAAGACAAAAGGGTTGCTCTCTGCAAACTGATACCAGGACCCCATTGCTGAGGACAACACGCACACAACTTATTGAATACAGACCCCTATGTTCTAGTCTCTTTGGTGTAGGAATGTACTCTGCAGGCTACCCAGCCATAAAACCTTTGACCTACAATGTGTTCTGCTCGCAAAATATGCTAAGGCAATGATAGCATAAAACTTGTGAGAGTAGCCAAACAGTCTGATTTGACTTAAGGCCCACTCCATGAGAAGGAACTCATATCCGACACTGCTTGGTTGACCAAAACCCACAGATTAGATACTCCAGAGACTTCAGGGTAAAACCAAACACTACTGGTCTTAAAAAGAAAATTCAATCCCTCTCCAGACATGTGGAGAGTCTAAATGGAAGGTCGCTATCAAATCCCTCCCCTCAAAGCTCAGGGAGTCCTGCAAAAGCAGAGGTGGAAAGATTGTAGGAGCCAGAGAAGATGGAGGACACTAGGAGAACAAGGCCCTCTGAATCAATCAAGGCACATATTAGCTCAGACTGAAGGAGCAAGCACAGGGCCTTCAGGGGTTCTGTACCAGGTCCTCTACATATGTATTATAACTACTAGCTTAGTATTTTTATGGGACTTCTGACCCTGATAAGGACTGGGTCTCTGACTCTTGTGTCCTTTCTTGGGACTCTTCTCCTGTTGGGTTGCTGTGTCCAACTTTGATATGATAGCTTTTGCTTCATCTTAGATATTTTGTCATGTTTGGTTGTTATCTTTTAGAACCCTGTTCTTTTCTAATGAGAGACAGAAAGAGTGAATCCAGAAAGGAGGGGAGGTGGGGAGGAACTGGGAAGAGTAGAGGGAGGGAAGCTATAATCAGGATATATTGTATGAGGAAAGAAATCTATTTATAATAAAAGAAAAAAATAAAAAGAATCCTACAGTGACCTTAAGGTGATACACTGGACACCTCGGTGGGTTGTAGGAGTTAATCTTGATACCATAGGTCTGCTGTTGTGCTTGTTATTTTTTCAACAGAACAAAGGCTAAATCAGAAATTACTCTTGGCATCACTCATAACGTACAACTCTTATTCTTCCCACAGACGGTGGACAAAGAGATTTTTGTTTCAATGAACTTCACTGCATTTACTCTTATAAGCTAGAGAGGAAGGACGCTGTGAAGAAATACAACCCTTCAGTAAAACTGTGCCCTTAGCATTGTTGCTTCCAACTAAACAGCTACAGCCTTAAAGCATTGAGCTTATCTATTACTTGAGTCTACTGTGTCTATTACCCTCAAAAAACTCAAGGAGATAAAATCTATCTTGTAAAAAAGAAAAAAAAAGAAAAGAAATACAATGCCTTTCCTACCAATTTCTTTGCCATTTTAAAAGGATAAGCATATACTTAAGTGCCCAATATATATATTCACTTTTGATTCCAACAAATCCAAATCTTCAATCTCCACTTTATTAATGAAAACTACCTAAGGCTAACTTCTCGAGCAAATCATTAGTGATATTTTAAAACTACTTATTTTGGAGTGAGGGAAGAGGAGTCTCTATACACTAAGATCTCTGTCTCTGTAACAACTGGAAAAGTATTTAATGAGTTTGTAAACAGTATGATTAGAGTCAGAGAAAGTATTTTATACAAATATGATTTTACAGGTGAAAAAATTCTTTTCTAAAATCAGTAATTTCTTTGTCCTTTCAGGACATACATAATTTTATTTCCCATGGAATTCAGTGTGATGAGTACAAAGATTCATTACAAAGCCAGTTATCTACTACAAGATAGTTATAAAAAATGTGGAAAAGTTATAATTAAATTTACAACTGAGAAAACACTTAAAGCTAGGAATGGTTCATATTCAGAATTTGAGGCTGAGGCATGAGGAATGCCAAGAGGTCATGGTTGGCCTGGACTGCAAAGTGAAACTCTGTCTCAAACAAAACATAAAAATTGAAAATACTTTATTTCTTCCTATATACAACTATCTTACACACTATAAAAAATAAGTATATATGTTTTCATAGGATTTCTTAGAACCATATCATTTTGTTAGTGAAAGAAGAAACTAAATGAAAAGGAAAACAGTAATACCTTAAAGATGAAGTAATACTATTTACATGCTTTATTCCTCTACCAGCCTAATTAGGTAACTTCTTCCCTTAAAATGATCAGTTCTGAATAAAAAAGTCAATACTGCAAAACTCATTATAAATAAAACATACCTGGTTCGTTGGTCATAGCAGACCATGTCAAATACATTGTGTAGACTGTAATTACTGAAGACTGTAACAAGCCAGATCTTGGTTGTGATTCCTACAAATAAAATATTAAGTAATACAAATAAATGTCTGACATTCTGATGTATGAAAATTTAGAAAATTAAAGGCTTCATAAAAATGAGTGCTAGGAAGTACATACTTGGATCTTGGGCAGTATAGACATTACAGAAGCACCAATGCAGAGGAGCATGTTGACACTAATGAATGCCTTATTTTCTGAACAACTGGCTGGGTGAGTGTAGTAGACAAAGAATAAGATGATGGCAACTAAAGACAGCAAATAATTCAGAGCTGTAGCCGATAACAAGGCTGTGAAAGAAATACAATGGAATTATTAGATTTTATAAAAATATTAGAAATTCAGCCTGGTACTTGTTTTTAAACAAATCTTAGATTTTATGTAACTAACCAATTAACTCAAGCTTCTTAGAATCATACTACTACAGAAATCCCCTTAGGTGTTAGGCAGCCTTTATACTTTTATAAGGTGGTCCCAAGTTTTTGTTTTCTTTGTTTACTGCTTCTGCTGAATTAACACAATTCTATGTTATTTCTAGTAGTCTTCCCTTTAACATTTTACTTTTAATGTACTGGGAAATTTGTCTGCAAAAATATATGCTTTAAGCAATAGACTCTGTACATCATTCCAGCTATTCACAGATCTTTAGGTTTCCTTACTAGTCCCCAGATACAGTGCTACTTAGGAAGTAAATTAGTAAATTACTTACTAATGTTCAATAAGTTGCTGATACAGTCACTCTTCATAGGAAATTAGAACACAAAAATCCTAAGGGATTTCCCTGCACACTCTTCTGTCCTCATCAATGTTCACCACACTGAGGATCCTCTATGAAATAAAAGCTTACCTGCATACCAACACCTTGAGTTCCCTTCTTCCATTTTTTCAACCCATGATTCATTCCAAGAATGGGCAAAATCAATAAGCAAGACTAGTTGTATGAGGATGAAACAAAAGGCACCTGCCATGCCTACATAAAACCACACTGAAAGGAAAAAATAATGTATTTTAAGTGAAGGAATGACTGCTTTAGTTTTTATTATTTTTCTTAATAATCTTGATACAAAAAGGGAAAACAAACTTGTATGGAAATTGATTTTGCAACTGGCATAAAAGAAAAACCAAACAGTAAGAGAATGACAACTCCAGGTAGCAGTTACTACGACATCCTGTACAACAAACAAACAAAAATATTATCAAAGAATTTTTTTTTAAATCCTCACCGGTTGTAAAAGTGCCTTCCGGAATGAAGAAAGCTCCAACAATAATTGCAACTGCTGTAGCAAATTTGAAGAACCAGAATCTAAGACAGAAAGAAATGTATCTTTAATAATAAGCCCCCAACAATAACTCAAACAGTAAATCTTCTCGGAACCATTTAAAGAACAGTTAAACTTCACCTAAAAGTTTTAAGCATATACTGAAAACAACAACAAAAAACCATTCCACAGGCTATTGTAAGGCTGATCTTAAGAAAGACGTATCACCAATTCATTTAAGAATATAGGCTTCATTCCAAAGGACTGAATATATAAAGTACCATTTTATTTCACAAATGAATTGCTTTAATAAATTTAATAAATTATGACAAGTGCCTATATTCAAAACAGCTAATAACTAAAATGGTAAAATTTTATTAATGTGATATTACATTTTTATTCCATCTTTGGCATAGCATGTTGACAAATAAGCAATAAAACATACTAAGAAAAGTGAGTTTGTAGGAAGAAATAGATACAATTCAAACATTCAAATAAACTACCAGATGAGATATTCAATATTAAAGGAGACTGACTAAATTAGCACTTTTTTTCACTAAGTTGTGAAAACAATCACCTAGAAAAATCAATGCTTGTTGAGGAATAAAGTTTCTTTCGATTTGGCTGCCTTGTAGATCTAGGAAAATTAGAGTTCTATGTAATAGGACAGGTTCACCAGAAGCTAAAAGAAGGGGCATCAACACCTCTTCCTTTAATCACATATACACATCCTCCTTTGAAAATAAGATACATAATCAGAGGTGATGCCAATAAATGACTCACTACCCATTATTTAATATCCAAAGCAAGGCTTTCTCTAGGAAAATCAACCAGAGTTTTTAAAACTTTTTATGGTCAAGATGACTCTGCTTTGAAATTTCTTTGGGTAAATTCAAAATTGCCAGGAAGAAAAAGGCTCTCTAGACTTTTCTCTCGAGTAATTCAAGGCTTACCCGTTGTGGATCGCGGCTCTAGGATCACTGCTGCTTTTCACTTTGATCATTAGTAAAGAGAGGAGAAGGTAGAACATGGCCAAGCCAAAGCACAAGCGATACACAGCTTTGTAGCCAACCAGAATACTACAAGGAACAACGCCTTTCTCATTCTCACAGAACCCAGGAATCTAGGAAAACAAAATGGGCTTATGATCAATATTTTTCATGAACTAAAAGTTTCATGTAAACTGTAATCTGCTTTACAAGCCATACAAATAAATATAATCAAAATAACCCTGCTGCATTTTAATGGGGGTAGGGCCAGGCATGGTGGCACAAGCATTTAATCCCAGCACAGCAGGAGGCAGAAGCAGGCCAGCTGGGGCTACATAGTGAGACTTTGACTTACCAATAAAAAAAAAAAAAGTTAAAACTTCCAAATGAGCAAATAATAGATAATAAACTAACAATGGCCATATCTAGGCTGGATGATTATTTTTTTGAGCTGAAGATTTTAAATCTTTAAATATGTATCTGAATGTTACATAAAAACAAAAATGCACGTTTATAGCATACCATAATTCTAAGTTTTATGAGACTTGCATTCTATTGTGAAGTACTGAATTACATATGTAAGATAAGTGGGAAGAAATGAACAAAAGCTTAAAGAATTACATAAAACAGTCATTTCTAAGACTGTAGAGCATTTTTTTAAAATGGCTTTTTAGGGCCAATGCTATTTAAATCCATTTTGAGTATAAGACCTTTCAGTGCTATTTCTGATCATAGGTAGATTGACTTAACTTGAGCTGACAATACTTCATATTTTAATTCATAATCCTGAGAAACAGCAGTGACCATTTCAGAAAGGTAACTGGGTAGGGTGGAGAGGTGCAGTAATAGAGCCCTTCCCATGCAATACAGAGGAGGCCTTGGCCTTGATCGCTACCAACACACACTCACAGACACAAAGTTGCAGTGAAATCAGGATGCAAAAAAGGAGCTTCTGTGAGTTAAGTGTCAGTATTATTGAAAACTACATGTATTATAAGAATAAACTATTTCTCCCACCCTAGTCCCAGTACTCCAAGGATATTGAATTTTAGCTACTAGTTTTTTACCGTCATATCCAACAGCTGTTGAAGTCCTGACCTTCTTTAACCCTTGGTGCACTGACAGTCTTTCCAACAAGTCTGTCTAAATCCTGTATACTTGTGGTTTTTCTCTCCGCTTCCTCCAGGGCTGTGTTTCCTCTTTGTCAACTCCCTGAAGAGCTGTTGATGCAGTTCTAGCAGCGCTAACCCTGAATGGCTTTCTACAGCATTGCTGCCAGGATTTCTATTTCCAGTTCTCAAAACATATACTCACTCTGATCTGAACTAATGTTTTCTAATTCCTCATAGGTGAACAGTGTTGGGCCTCTATATCATCTGCCCAAAATTCATCTATTTAAAATTAATTAGGTATATGCATATGCCATAGTACACTTTTGGAGATTAGATGGAACTCAGTTCATTGAGCTTGGTAGCAAGTACATTTTGCCACAGCCACCAAGCCATCTAACTGGCCCTGATATTCCTATCTTGTAACTCTGATCCTTAATAGAACAAGATTAGGAAGGGGACAATAATGAGGTCATCAAGTTCATCCTTCATTAAAAGATTTGTGCCTTTATATGAAAAGGCATGACATAGCCTGCTACTTCTCTCCTTACGACATGAAAATGCACAACAGTCAACTGCAAACAAAAGATCCTCACTGGAACCAAACCTTGGCACCCTCATTTCAAATCTCCCACATCCAAACACGTAAGAAAGAAATTTCTGTTAAACCACCTTTTTGTAGTATTTTAGCAGCCTAAACTACATACACACAAGTATATGACAGCTTCAAGTCAACATGTTACAGACTATATATTCCCTTCTGTTCCCATTAGCCAACTCACTGAAGAAAAAAAAAATGAAAATGACTGTATTTTCATTTTTTTTTTTTTAAGATTTCTTTTTTGATTGTGTCTGCGTGTGCATATGTGCACATGACTACTGGTACCCACAGAGACCAGAAGAGGACCATCAGACCTCTGGGAGCTGGAATTCAGGCAGCCAAGAGCCACCCAACAATGGATGTTAGGAAGCAAATTCTGGTCTTCTGGAAGAGCAGCAAGCACTGGACCGCCTCTCCAGCCTCTGTTTCTGGGTTAAGAGCAGTACTTTGCCCCTGGTCTCCAAGAACTAGAACCTGACTGATGAAATTCTAGCACTACCAATATTGGAATGCCAGGCGGCCGACTCAGTCACTCCAACATCAATCACATCTATTTGAGGCCTGTTCCCTCACGGATCCTATCATAGAGCCTCTATATTTATTTAAGTGCTTGACTTCTGTCTTTATAATCTTCAGACAAAATGACTCAAAACCTTTCCTAGTCATTATTGCTTCCTCATTTTCAGGCACTGCACTTACATTTTACTTATTTTTAAAATGTCCCCTTTTCAGGAACAAAAAGAAAACACACACACACACAGTCCACTTTCCAATTATAACGACATTACCAAAGTACAGTTTCTTTACTTTCTTATTGACATATAAGTTACACAGAATGTCTTTCAACATGACATTTTCATACACACATATTATATACCTGATCATATTCACCCCATCCCATTCTTGTTTCACTCCCCTCCTGCTGATCCCTGTCATCTTCCTATCTGCCCTTTTCTACTTTAGATCTTTTGTTTTGTTCTTTGACCCAATGATTTCATTAGAGTTGCTTCTGGAAGCACTGTAGGCTTCTTTATAGCACCATGAGCATCTTTACACTGGATACACCACTGAAGAAATTATCTTTTCCTCCAGTAACTACTAACTGCAAGTAAATTCCAAGAAGAGGCAGAATCTTGTGAGCATCTCCCTCCCTTCTCCATCACTGGATGTTAGAGGCTTCAATCTTGTGCACATTCTGTGCACATCCAGATGCTGTGAGTTTGCAAGTAGAATTTGTGTTATGCCTGAAAGTTGGGATTTGACACCACTCTTCATTTTCCTCTGGCTCTTATATTCTTTCTGTCCCCACTTAAGCAATGTTCACCGAGCCTTGGAAGCAGTGACACAGATAATCTAATTATGGCTGAGCATACAACCTTCAAGTTATTTTCAACACTCAAACCAGTTTATGGGCCTCTGAAGGTATGCTTCTCTGACCAAAGCTGACAATACCACTGATCTATAGGTTTGAAGAACAGTTACTTAGAAGGAAATCTGATGGGTAGTTTATTTAGTAAAACAGTAGCTGCAGAATCCCCACTAGGCCCAACACTCTCTAGTCACAGGCTTTCAACAAGGCTTCCAGTAGAAGAATTTACAATACCAGATGTAATTCCTTCCAGTGCAGTGGGCCTCAAATTAATCACAAAGTAACTGGCCATCTCTAACAGGCTTGCCACTACTGTACCAGTGGACATCTTGCCTGGCTGGCTGCTACTGTTGTATGCAGAATCAACAACTGAGTAAGACTGCTGGTGATAATTCTTCCCAACAGCCTGCACAGCACTTTCTGGTATGATGAAGGCTACGTGGCAGGAAGGAGGCATCCAGACCACTTCCAGCCTGATTTCTTTATGTCCTGAGACCACAGCATGTGGTGTCTGCAGTAATGGAATCTACCATCTAGTTCTGGTGGGAAGTAAACAACCACAGAAACAGCCAAAGAACGTTTTCTGTGCTGCCATCACAGAACTGAACAAGCTACTTCATATTGTCTTCCCTAAAAGAATGTGACCTACTAAAACTAGGATTACATATTACTGTATTTTTATATTACTTTCTTTTCAGTACCCAAAGTTATTAATGTATATGCTACAATTTCAGTTCATTCGGAGTAAAATGAAAGACTGACCTTATTCAGCTGTTCTTCCATCCCTGGTATTAACATTACACATGCTACACACACTCCAACAAGCAAGAAAAGTGCATAGATCAATCTAGTCACGGTCGAGTTGTTTCCACTGGGGCAGCAGCGGCACAGCAAGCATGGGGCGCTGCCACACAGACATGGTATCTGGGAAAAACAGTAAAGGTCAGCACAGTTCACATGGTTCAACAAAAATGTACATTCTATTTGTTGAAAAAGGGGATAAACAGTGACATTCATTAAAAAAAAAAGACTAAAATATCTGATTCACATACATTATCTAATGTTCTAAAACCTAGAGGTAAAGATGGAGCAAGGACTAACAATAAACAGCCCTTGTCCTGCACACCAAGTAAAACAAGGGAGATAACCAAGAGCAACCAAGATTTAGCTAAGAAATGGAAATTCATAAACAGCACAGCTACTAAGCTCACCTCCAGCCCCTGCCTCCCAGATAAGAGTACAGCCCTAAAATTCTGGGAATTCTCAACCCAAGAAGAGGGAGGCAACAAAGCAGGGTAGGGAAATATCATCCACCACAACACCAAAGTAAATCGGTGTTCTTATTTTTTCCTTTTCAACCTTTCTGTTTATAGCTATAAAACTATAAGAACAGGCTTTAAAAAAACAGGCTAAGTGAACAACTGGTTAACAACTAGCTAACTAGCTAACTTTCTCTAATGAACTCTATGCTAAACTAGGAAATGAATAGGCTCTTGACCAAGAGATTAACGTGTATAGGCATTAACAAGAAATATCTCAAAAAGACAAAGTTTAAGTATTCTCACAAGGTCTGGCCATAACCTGGACTGAACTCCATCAGTCAGACTTTAGGTTGGATGAACCAGGGTATTCCTGGGGAAAGGAATCAGACATTCCAGGCAAATTGTGTTGTAGTAAACACATTGCTATAGCCCATATAACTGTTAAGATGTACACAAAGATGTTTTACATTATGCTTCAGGAACAGAAATAGATGGCACAGTGATTATGCAAACATTCACTTAAAAAATTAAAAATAAAGAATTCTATGACTACAAGATAAAAAATAAGACATTTTAAATAAAAATAACTGAATGAGAAGGAAATATACTGCCAGTATACTTTATTTGAGCTATAGAAACAAGAGAGAGAGAGAGAGAGAGAGAGAGAGAGAGAGAGAGAGAGAGAGAGAGAGTGCACACACTAGCTCAGCAATGAAATGAGAAAATAGCAGATCACAGGGATACTGAAGGAAAGAACGGGAAGAAACAAAAGAACTAACCATCATGCTATCCAGGAACAAAAAGATGCAGCTGAGAATGAAATTATGAATGGGGAATAGTACTTGAGATAATTATCTAAATGCAGGCTGAGATGAAGTAACAGTGAACAGACTTACCTTTGCTTTAGCAATGGGAAAAAAAAATTAAGTATTTCAAACACATTATGAACTAATAAAACTGGAAAGAAGAAATACAAGGTAGTAATTTTGGAAAGGAGATGATGTAAACCATAGAATCTGCCCATCTTTCTAACTGGGAGAATGGTTCAGCACAACAGTCCACCTGCTGAGACAGAGCTAGGAATTCAGGGAAGTGAAAGCAGCTAGCACTCCTAGGGCAGGATTCCACAGTGGAAGCAATGGGGCAAGCAAGCTAGCTCTATCTGCTGGGCACAGTCACATTCACCCGAACAAATTACTCAAGGAGGCTATGGGTGTTGGGTAGAGAAACACTAACTACTACTGGAATTTCTTAGCACTAAATAGGCTGTACTCATTTATTTAAAAAAAAAAAAAAAAGCAAGCATCAAAGACATAAAAATCTCTTAAGTAACAACCTAGATGCCCGTCAACTGAAGAATGGATTAAGAAAATGTGGTACATATACACAATGGAGTACTACTCAGCAGAGAAAAACAATGACAGCATGAAATTTGCAGGCAAATGGATGGAACTAGAAAAAAATCATCCTGAGTAAGGTAACCCAAACCCAGAAGGACAAACATGGTATGTACTCACTCATAAGTGGATTCTAGATATAAAGTAAAGAACAATCAGACTACAACCCACAGAACCATGGAGGATATATATATATATATATATATATATATATATATATATATATATATATATATATATATATATATAGCATAGGGGACCCTAGGATGACTATGGCTTAAAATAAATTTTGGTTTTACTCAATTACTGAGCAAACCTCAATGAAACATTTCACTATTAAGGTAAGAATTTATACTATATCAAGCTGATAATAGAAAAATTAATTAATTTAAAAAAATAAAAATAAAAAAGAAAATTTTAAACTATTAAAAAAAAAAAACCCAAACAAACATATTTCGCTAAAGTAAAAAGGGGGAACTAGGGACTCTTCATTCCTCTCCACATTCTATTCTTTCCCTTTTTTATATATTTTAAATTTTTTATTGGTGGATTCTGCTGGAGTATCCGCTGCAGATAAGCACTGGAGGGCTCCTATTGCAAATCACCCTCTGGAGCGATGGAAGGATCTTTCTACTGGCACTTGGAGGAGACCTGATCTGGTATTGGTGTGGGCCTGCAGTTCTGTTTATGTTTTTCCTCAGGACAATGAGGTTCCTCTTTGGATTCCTGAGTGCTGAGTGCACCCTGTGGCTACTGCTGAAGCCCAACATGGCAGAGACCTATTGGGCCTTTGAGATAAACTCTCCCCTTCTGATGCCAATGGGGATTGAGAGCCCAATATGGCCAACTTTGGCAAGCATTAACGTAAGCCTAGGAACTGTAACCATGCGGTTGGAATCTCCAGAAGGTAATGTATGGTAACTGCTTTTTCAAGTATGTTTGAGAACGTGTCACCCAGACACCTTGGAGATTAAAGATAACCCTGAAGGTCACTGACCTCTATTTGTTAACAGTTGCATGCCAGCTAAGCCTTTTCATTTTCAAAATCCTCTTCAAGCTGGTATAATACATACTTTTCAGGAGTGGCTCTGTGCAACATTTATTGGCCTCCTGAAATTCATTTAGCCCCCTTTGAAGATACCTTAAAATTTATCAGCCTAGCCAGTGTGTTGGAGGCGCATGCCTTTAATCCCAGCACTCAGGAGGCAGAGCCAGGTGGATCTCTGAGTTCGAGGCCAGCCTGGGCTACCAAGTGAGCTCCAGGAAAAGCACAAAGCTACACAGAGAAACCCTGTCTCGAAAAACCAAAAAAAAAAATTTATCAGCCTAAATGTAGCCATTATAAGACCATTAGTTATGCTCCTTGTGAGCTGCCTGTTTTTTCTTTATGGTTCTTAGTTGTTCTTTTGCAGAGCTGCCTGATTAAGTCATGCTGGGATCAATAAAAATGGACCTTGGTGGTTCGTGTTCCTGGAGTTGTATCCATGTCAGTGGATGCCCACACACTCCAGAAGAGAATTTGACATTGCTGCTGCTGTTGTTGCTGTTATAGCAGAGGCGGCCACCACTGCTACTGTTTCTGGGATTACTATTTCATAATTGCTTACTACAGCTAGCACAGTGGAGACCCTGGCAGCAAAAGTAGCTACCACAGTTAATTAATCTTTCGTTCTATTGGGCATGATAAATTTAATTCAATAGTTATATACGTTTCGATTGGCTTTTAAAACTATAAATTTATAAACTCAAGTTCCATTTGCCTTTGGGATACCATTTTACAAGGACTCCAATTTGCAGTAAGGCTTGTTAAGGAAGGGAATGGCTATGGGTAGGTTAGGACTTCTGTTGGTCTTTTCTGTGTCGAACACACAGACTGCAAGCCCAGCAACACTTTGAGATCTTTGGCAGCAGTTAACTCTGTAGCTCACACACGATTGAGCCTGTATGATAATGAGTATTCAGAGACGGGTAATGCCTGGGGGGCGCTCACCAACCGAAGACAGAGTGCCTGTGTGGCCTGGGCAGGCGTCTCCATGATGGGTAAGGTGACCTGCTGACGTCCCACGCAACCTAAGTCAGAAGCTCATTTATTAGTAAAAGGGGGACCTGTAGGGGCCCTGGCCCCTGTGGATAACTGTTGCCTTGCTTGCTGACCTTGACCTTGATATCCTCCCTATGCTAATTCCCTCCCGGGTTTCACCTGTATCCTGCATAATGGGCGTTAACAGCTTAGATGCAAGATTGTAAAACATCTGTAGCGAACTTCTGCCCTCCAGGGTCCTCCCATTGTGCTGTAAGCCTGTATTCAAGACCTCCTCCCTCCTTCAATAAACGGCATTCAGCATTTAAAAAAAAAAAAAGAAAGAAAAAGAAAAACCAAAGAAACAAACAACAACAAAACACAAAAAACCAACTGTTTTCTCCTATGTCCACTGATATTTATATTTACACAGTTTTCCTCCCCCTTTTCTTTGTCCTGCTTCTTTAAATCTTCTTCCCACCTACATGTAAAACAATAAAGAATAAAAGATTTGTGATAAACTAAAAAAAAAAGAAAATCTCTTAAGTAATTCACCTATGTCCAAGAAAAAAACCCAAAAATAGTTTTTAACATAGAAGTAAATCCAGCCTTCATCAAGGTAAAATGTATACCTGACATCTAACAGTAAACTGGAAGACATGCAGAAGAGCAGGCACATAAAATCCACGAGGACCAAGTAGTCAAAAACTAATCTGGGAAGGGGAACATTTATAGAGGACTTTTAATACGATTGTTAAGGACACTTCACACACTCAAGATAGTTGAGGGAAACTCAAGCACGGAAAGGAGTGATATGGAAGATAATTTAAAAGAACCCTATTAAATATTTGGAGATTTAAAAAAGGTATGTCAGCTCAATACCAATAAACAGAAAAGACTAATGAATCTGACTGAAGCCACGGCAACAGAAATGACCCAACATAAAAAAGATGTTTCAGGCCGGGCGGTGGTGGCGCACGCCTTTAATCCCAGCACTCGGGAGGCAGAGCCAGGCGGATCTCTGTGAGTTCGAGGCCAGCCTGGGCTACCAAGTGAGTCCCAGGAAAGGCGCAAAACTACACAGAGAAACCCTGTCTCGAAAACCAAAAAAAAAAAAAAAAAAAAAAAAAAAAAAAAAAAAAAAAAAAAAAAAAAAAAAAGATGTTTCAAGAAGGGGATCGGTGCATTATGACACAACTTCGAGCCGTTAATGTGAGTGAAATTAGAGTCTCTGAAGGACTGAAG